GGGAGATGGTTCCTGAGGCTGGTTTGGTGGTTGGGAGCTGGTTGGGGCTGGGTGTGACCCGACAAAATGGAATAGCACTGGGCTACCCACCAGCGCTGGGAACCCAGTCCAAAACGCCAGTGCAAGCCAAAGATGGGAGAGCTTAGAATCACTGTGTATTTAGAATTGCTAGAAGAGCCTGTTTCTGGAAATGCCCAGAGTAAGTGGACCCTGGAGAAAGGTCAGAGATCTCTGAAGAGAATTAAAAGGTTCCCTGCTTTAATTAATGGGATCTCCTCAACTGCACAGCCAGGAGAACCTGATCTGGAATAAGGAATGCTTAAGAGCATCCACATGACGGAGGAAAACCTCTTTCTGTAAGGTGTCTTTCTACCACAGTGGGATTCATCAGTCTCAAAAGGGCAAGGTGGCATCTCTCCAACCACTAGCTCATCACAGCTTGCTGCCCAGGCTGGCCCAGAACAGGCTGCTCCCTGGGGAGGCAGTCTGGCTCCTAGCCGAGACCAGCGCCTCTAGCTGCCCACTCCTCCTCTCTTCACATGCAGACAGCCAGAGAGATGCATTTAATGCCTACTTTGTGCAGGGAGTGTTCAGGGAATGTTTTAGTGATGAATAAGGGAGATCATGTCCTGACTTCATAGAGCTTACTTTCTAGTGGGGGACACAAAACATCAGCAAGTTTGTAAACAAGGTAAAATAAAAAATATACAATTTCAGGTTGTGAAAAGTGCTCATGTCCTTCAGTATGTAAATGGATAACTGTGGTACATCTTGGAATGTTATTCCACACCTAAAAGAAAGGAGCTATCAGCCATGAAAAGACATGGAGGAACCTTGAATACATATGACTAAATGAAAGAAGCCAGTCTGAAAAGGGTACAAACTGTGTAATTCCAGCTATATGACATTCCAGAAAAGGCAGAACTATAGAGACAGTGAAAGGTCTGGGGTTGGGAGGGAGGGAGGGATGAATAAATAGAACACAGATTTTCAAGGCAGGGAAAATACTCTTTTTGATGTTATAAAGAAGGATACATATCATTATACATTTGTGCAAACCCACAGAATGTACACCAAGGATGAGCCCTCATGTAAACTGTGGACTCTGGGTAATAATGATGTGTCAGTGTAGGGTGGTCAGTTGTAACTCATGTATCATTCTGGTGTGGGTGTTGATAATGGGGAGACTGTGTGTGGGCTTGAGGGTAGGGGGTTTATAGGAAATCCCTCTACCTTCCTTTTAATTTTGTGATGAACCTAAACCTGCTCTAAAAAAGTCTTAAAAAATTTAAGAATGAAAATAATCACTAGTAATTGAATAACAATTAGATAAATGGAAAAAAAAATAGACCAGGGCAGGGGGATAGAGAGTGGGGGAGGGTCAGTGGAGAGGATGTATTTTAGGCAAGGCTGTCATCAGAGGCTGAGCTGACCATGTGACCCTGAGCAAGGAACTGAATGACGCGAGGAAGCAGGCCGCGTGGAGACTGGGAAGGATGGCCTGACAGGCAGAGGGAGTAAATCTGAAGACCTTGAAGCAGGAGTGAACTTGGCCTCTTAAAGGCCGGGCAGTGAGGGAGGTGTGGAGGCAGAGGGGCTTGAGAGGCGGGCGGGGGTCAGGTCCCAGAGGACTTCACAGGCCGTCATCACAGCTTGGGAAGCCGCTGGGGGGTGTTGAGTAGGGGCCTCAGAAGGTCCTATTTACACCCTGCCTGGTAGAGAGGAGTAACTGCTGCTGCTTGTTGAATAGTGTCGTTGTTGGCTGCACATGAGCAATGCAAGGTGAGCTTTTTCTGTACTGGGTCCAAACCATACTCACCTAGCATATGGAGTAAGGCATCCCAGAGGTGTGTGGGGATTGACTCATAGGTAGTCACTGTAGGAAAACCCCCAATCCCTTCCGGCAGCGACTTGGCTCTCATTTCTACTCCTTTCTTCCTCCAGAGGCAGGCAAAGTATTCTGAGAACAAGCTGAAATGCACCAAGGCCCGGAATGACTACTTGCTGAACCTGGCAGCCACCAATGCAGCTATAAGCAAATACTACATCCATGATGTCTCCGACTTAATTGATGTGAGCACCTGGGGCATCTGGGACTAAACAGGGCCCCACTGCTGAGCTGGCACCAGTCCTCTGCTGAAGGAGGGGCTGGCTCTTGTCCTCAGCAGACATACCAAGGTGGCATGTCCCTTGAGCTCTGTTGGAGGTGAAGGGCAGTAAGCATTTGGGGCCTAGGAGATGAGTATCACTTCATGGTCATTACTTCCATGGGTGCGAGGGGCCTCTGCCAGCTCCTGTATGGTTGGGTCAGGCAGTCATGTATTCATCATGTACTTCCCAAGTATCCTCTTCTACACCAGGCCTTTTGCTGGGTTTGGGGGTATAGGGGTGATCATCCACAGTTCATGCCCTGGGGGATTTCCCAGGGTGGTACAGATGTTTATATGTTTAACCCCCAGGTCTAGTCTGCCAGAGACACATATGCGCACAAAAGAAAAATGTGTAGGAGACAGATTACACAGATCAGTTCTGCTTAGGGATGTTATCTTGGGAGAAATCAGGCAGTTTAAGTAAAAGGAGAATGCAACACCCTCTCCTGAGGACCAGCTGTGTAGGACACGCTAGAGGGACAGCTAGGCTTAGAGGAAGAACATGGTGAGCAGCATCACCAGGTTAAGTTTCTGTGTCATCTGTGTTGGAGCTGGGACTGCTTCTCAGATCTCCCTGGTCCCATGCAAACAGGGATCTGGTCCAGAAGATGCTCAGTAAAGTTTCCCTACTGAAGGATGGATCCTGGTGTGTCCCATGAGGAGGTCAGGGGGCCACCACTTCTCTCATGGCACCATTCCCAGGAGAGGGAGCTGCACAGCCCTGCCTGTGCTGTCCAGTGCCTGAAGCCAGAACACTCGTTCTTACAACGTTTCTTTGTCACTCTTTCTAGTCCTTTCCTTTTTTCACTACCACATTCTTATTGAGCACCTACTAGCTCTAGGTTTTGAGGTGCCACAGTGAAGAGGAGCCAGTGGGGCTGCCCTCATGGAGCTTACCATGCCTACTGCTGACACGTTAATAGGCAAATTACAAGACCAAGTGGCAGATGTCACAGTGAGGCAGGTGGAGTGAGATGTGGGCCCCTAGAAGAGGGATACCTGATATAAACACCGAGTGGGGAGAACATCAAGGAAGACTTCGTGGAGGAAGTGACCTCTAAATTGAAACCTGAAGGAAGAGTATTTAGGTAGGAGGAGAGAGGCAGAGAATGCCAGGCAGAGGGAGTGCATGAGTGAAGGCCTAGGGAGGAGAAAGAATAGGGTGAATTTGGGGAGCTGAGAGATGCTTTGCTCTTGCCCAAATTGCAGCCTCCAATTCCCTCCCTCTGAGGGTTTTTGGCATGATTTGGGTAGTAGGATTCCAGAGTGCTCTAGGGCCTCCAGGATGAAAGATTTGGCCATGGAAGAGGAGGTAGGCGTGAGTCGTGTGACGGGAAAGGGAATGCTCGTGGCCCCTTCACGTCAGCCCTGACCTGCTCCCTTTTCTGTGTGCCCCTCTCCAAGTGCTGTGATTTGGGCTTCCACGCCAGCCTGGCCCGCACCTTCCGGACCTACCTCTCAGCCGAGTACAACCTGGAGACCTCTCGCCACGAAGGGCTGGATGTCATTGAAAACGCGGTAGACAACCTGGATTCCCGAAGTGACAAGCATACAGTCATGGACATGTGCAACCAGGTCTTCTGTCCTCCCCTCAAATTTGAGTTCCAGCCCCACATGGGGGATGAGGTAGGTGTCCCAGAAGCACATGTTTAAGTCTGCTTCTGTCTGTTCTCCTATGCGCTCCCAGAACATCCGTGGGAAGGGAATGTCAGCCCCCACATTCCACACATAGGAGTTTTATCTCAGAGGCCCAGGGTCAAGTTCTTGGGTCAGAGGCATCCCTAGCCAAGAAGTTTACCACTAAGACCTATGTCTTACTGGCTCAAGTTTCCCTCCTGTGAAAGTGCACAGCCTTAGCTCTCCTTAAAACCCCTCCCAGTTGTGTCTAGAAGACCACAGGGGAGCCCCCGCATCCACACACAATCATCTCCCATTCTCTCCTGGATGCCCTGGGATCGTGAGCGGCCGAGCCTCCCCACAGCCGCTCTGTTCAGCCCTCCCGCCAGGGCCCTGCCTGTCCTCCCCAGGACCCATGAGCTTCCTTCAGTGCTTACGCTGCTCAGATACTCCTATGTTCTGGAGAGAAAAACAAATAAATGGGAGAAGACACTTATCCCTGGCTCCAAAATCAGCACACTAGTTACCCAATTTTTATAAAGCCCTTTATGCATCTAGCTACTTGAGCTTTCCTGTGTAATTCCTCCCTCTCTCTAGGGCTCAGGCCCTAGTCTCTGGAACCAGTGGGGGAGAGCCACCCCATGTCATGTCGGCTTCCTCATCTCTGCCATCGCTACCCCTGGGATTTGTGCACAGAACTGTCTCCTAGTGGCTTCGTTCCCTCCACCTAGACACACCCCATCCAAGCATAACGGGGTTGGGGGAGACTCATACCAACAGTGTCCCGGGCCCTGTCAGCTCCTGGGTCCAGTAGAAGCTCAGCTGGGCCATCCACTGTACCTTCTTGGCAGGGAGGAACCAAGAGCCACCTGAGAAGATGGCATTTGCTGGGCCCTCTGGATGGCTCTGCCCACTTTCCTCATTTGCAAAAGAGGTTCCTCTGTGGGTCTTCCCCATACCTCCTGCCCCGTCCCTCTGCCCTTATGTCCAGCGCTTTGGGCCCATCACCTGGATCTGAAAATTCTGTCCTCATGGTTACCACTGGTGAGGCCAAGCTTGGGTTGCCTATTCGTGGTAAACAACAGCGCCCTATTGTCCCTTCTGATCTCAGCTTAGTTACACCAAGTAGCCCAGCTCACAGGTAGAAACAGAGGCCTGTGTGGAATAGGTGTATGGCAAACAGCATTTCTCTGCACCCTTCCCCACCTCTACCCCTCACCCAGTCAACGGTTGGGAAAGAAGGGCAGCCAGAGTGCTGTTGCCCCCAGCTGCCTCTGAGTCACCTTTATGCTGGGGAATAGGAGCACCCTGAGCATTTCCTATTCATTGTTCTTTTCATTGGCTTCTCTTTTCTATTGCTTTCTTACGACAACTTCCTGCCTTGAAATTCACTAACTAGTCTCACTTAATGAGATTATGGTAAAGCTTAAAGCTCCGGGAAACCCTCAAGTGCTGCAGCAGAACCAGAGGAGCAGGACTGAGAGGCCACACCTTACAGTTCCAGGTGGCAGGTTTCCATCTGCCCCTGCAAGATGTATGACGTTACACAGGCCACTTAGTCATTCCAAGTCTGTTTCCCCGGTGTTGATAGGGATGTTAACGATAGCCCTTGCCTGAGAGTGCGGGGCTACTGCAGATGGTGTCCGTCCTTTCCGCAGGTGTGCCAGGTCAGCGCTCAGCAGCCTGTCCAGACAGAATTGCTCATGAGGTACCACCAGCTGCAGTCCAGACTGGCCACTCTGAAGATAGAGAATGAGGAGGTGAGCGGGCCCCTCTGCCTGTAAGGAATTTCCTTAGGAAGGCCTGCCTTGGCCTGGAAGCCTGCTCTCACCACGGAACACATAAGAAAATGGGGGTTCATCTGTGAGATAGAATAATACTCAGCCACTGAAACCATGCACACCAGGATCTCTAATGGCACAGTGCAATGCTCGTAAGATGTTAAAGAAAAACAGAGGGAGTAGAACTCCCATGTTCACTATCCTAACTGGGCTAAACTAGAATATGTGTACATGTATCTGCATATTCATGTGCTTAGAGAAAGCCTGTGGATGTATTTTAAAATGTTAATTGTGGTTTTACCTGGGTTTCAGGATTATAAGTGATTCCTGTTTTCTTCTTTGTGCTTTCCTCCATTTTCTGTAAGAGTTTATGTCATTATCATCAGAAACAGTGATAGTCATTTTAAATTACACAATGAAATAAACAACCCGGGGCATACTAAATGTGTCATGGATTCTGAGCTCCAGGGAACTCTGTCTTACTTTGGCCAGCACACCTCCCACGCAGCTGGTGACCCAGGATTACCACGGGGAGTGTACAAATGCAAATCCGAGCTGCAGTGGTTCCATTCTGATGTGGACTGCTAAAGCCAGATGGGGACCATCCTATTCCAGCCTGGCTGCCTCCATGCAGGGAGGATGTCAACCCACTGGAGGCTCTTGGGGAAAGGACACCAGGATGCGGGGAGTGTCACTGGAGGACTTGGGCAGGTTTATCACTGAGAAGGGCAATCACAGATGGAGTTGGAGAGGCATGGTCCCTGTCTTCACATCGCAAGAGGACTGTCCTGGGCAGGGAGGGCTGGTTTGCTGTGCCTAGGACAGAGCTAGGAGGGATGTGAGACAGACACCGTCACTCAGGATGGTAATGAATGAAAACAGTCTCTGGAGGGAGGTTGTGTGGAGACACATTGTATATTTGTTTTTCAAACCTGAGGAGAGAAGAGATGAACAGAGTATTTTCTTTATGTCCTACATCTTCCCCCAAAGCATTTTAAATTGTTTACATGGAACAGTATATGGATAGTAGTGCTAATGGAATTCAAATTGAAATCAGGGCCACAGAAAGGAGAATAGAGCACACGTTCCTCTGTGCAGGCTGTTCATGGCTATGGAAATGCTTAATTTTGAACCTGAGCTTTTGTCAGGCTATCTTAGAAGGAACTGATTTATTCATTTATTTGTTCAAGAGGTATTTATTCAACTAATATTTAGTCAAGTGTTTATTAAGCACATACTGTGCACTAAACACTGTGCTAGATGCAGAGTAAACTCAGTGAACAAGACAACATAGTATCTCCTCTCATGGAGTTTTTGTCCTGGTGAGAACAGGAGGATGATTAGAACACTAAAGCAAAGCAATAAATGAATGAGTACACAAAATATCAGACAGTGGTAGGCACTAAGTTAAGATGGTAGGTAGTCTGGGGATCTGATGTCACCAGGAGGTGACATTTAAGTTAAGATCTGAGCAGGAGTTGAGCAACATAGTTTTACAATGAATATAAATGCCGTTTCTCCCCCGTTTTTGATGACCCTCTATCAAATAGAGAGCCTGCCATTTAGGCACAAGGCCACAGAAGGATGTTGTGAGGTCAGAGTTTGTGTCCTCTGCATGTGCAGCCTCCCAGTGGTCCATTCGATTCCAGGACAGAAGCTGGAGTCTGGGAGGACTGACTAGACAGCATGTCTCACATTGAGGTTCTTTTTCCTCACAAAGGCTTTCAATAGGAGTCCGGCAGCAGGTAGCCAGAGAATCTGTTTATTGAAAACAACCGCTCACCTTATCCAGACTCTGTCCCCTCTCTTCTCTAGATGAAGAGAACCAAGGGAAATTCCAGTGTTATCTTTCCTCAAGGGACCTGCCTTCCATTGGAGAAGCTAGTTTGGGGGCTCTGTAGCCAGGTAAAAAGAAGCAAGCCTAGAGAAACTCGAGTTCCTTATTTGTCACAACATTTTCCAAGGTTTTTTCTGGCAGAAGGAATCCAATAAAAGGACTTTAGATTGGGCAACCTGGATTCCCACCCCAGGCAACTAATTGGCCTTACTTTCCACATGGGTATAATGGGAATAATCACCTTTGTTCTCCTGCCTCCTAGAGGCTTTATATGGAAGAAATAAAGAAATGATTGGAAAAAGGACTTTGAAGTGTCAAAGGCATTCTGAGGCTGAAGGATTTTCGCCAACATGCTGTGCTTCTCTAGGTTAGGAAAACCCTGGATGCCACCATGCAGACCTTGCAGGACATGCTGACCGTGGAGGACTTTGACGTGTCTGACGCTTTCCAACACAGTCGATCTACAGAGTCTGTAAAGTCAGCTGCCTCTGAGACCTACATGAGCAAGGTCAACATTGCCAAAAGGAGAGCCAACCAGCAGGAAACAGAAATGTTTTATTTTACAGTAAGTGGTGTCCTAGACCCAAAACCCACGTCTGCTGACCCACTTGCTGGCTGTGACTCACGGGGCAGCCAAAGCTGGTGGGAGCCAGCAAAACCACGGGGGTCAGTTAAGACCTAAAACCCTTTCAATATGCTTCTCAAATGAAGTTGCCTAGCTTAGCTTTGTGAAGTGCAGAAAGTGAATTACTAGTGGGTAGCCTTGGCCTTGATCTTCGATTGGCAGTTATGGCAACTTTCCTGTTCTAGAAAGAAACCAGAGAGGGAGTTGTATTCACTAGGGTGTGAGGAAAATGGCTAACAGAGGCAGGTGCGAGCCCCAAGTAACAACCCTCAAGGTTAGTGTATGGTGAGCATGTTGAATTGTTTTAAGTTTGTGCATGGGCTGTGGAAACAATGCCCTGGGTGAGGTATGGAAATTGCTGGTGAGTTGCCAGCCCTTCTTGTAAAATCCTTGATTACTTAGGTTCCACTCTGCCAGGGGCAGGGCAGAGCAAGGGTTAAAGGGGCACTGGGGCTCTGGTGTACCCTGTGCTTAGTAGTAAAGGAGCCCAGAATTCTCTATTTCATCTGAATGTTTGATCCCATTCAGCCGTATCCATGCCAGAAAGTCATCCAGACTCTGCTTGAACAACCCCAGATATAAAAGCTCCCTCTTTTCCCCAAGCAGCCCTTTTGTTTGGCTTGTGGTTGGCTGTAGATACATGATGTTTTCCCTTATCTGTTATCTTCAGAAATCTGCCTCAGTAGGATTTCTGGCCATTGATCTTGACTCTGTTCTCTGGGGCAACCCAGAGAGAGGCTGATTCTACACGACAGTCTTTGGCATGGTTGCAGGGAGCTGGGTTTTCATTTTTCTAGGCAAAACATACCTGATTCTTTCCATTGTGCCTCATAGGCTTTCATTTTGAGTGGCCTGAGGATCCTAGTAACTCTCCCCTGAACATGTTCCTTTTGTCAATGCCTCTTCTAAATTGAGACTCCCAGGAGTGGTCTGAACAGCACAGAGCAGAGCTAATAGAGCCTTCACCTCCTTTCATACCAGCTGCTATGCTCCTTTTCATATGTCCTGAGATCATAATTTTTTTTAAAGGTTTCTTTTTTAAAAGCTATTCTTTTTTTTTTTTTAATATCAGTTAAACTTTTATTCCCTGTGTGCTGCTGTTAAACCAGGCCACCCTCCTCCTAAAGGATGGGTAGGTAATATCTAGGTTAGGTCTTATGTCTATCACTAACTAGATTTCCTCTTGATGGATTCACTTCACAGTTATAGACTGTCAAGATACTGAATCATTTGTTGAACATACATACTGTCTCTTCAGACCTTCTGTGTCTGCAGATTCAGGGAGCCTGGCCTCCATGCTGTAAAGTTTGTCAATTAAAAAGACACATGAGTGTGCCAGAGCCAAGGCCAAAGGCGGAGTTGTTCAAAACCTGCCACGAGGCTGATATTGATCCACTTCATCAGCATTTGTAGATGGTGATCATTTAACTAGTCACAAACCCACCCGATTCTAATATCCAACTCCATCTTGTGATAGGCTTCATCAGATCCCTTGTTGAAAACCAATAGTTGACACGTACTGCATTGCCTTGAAAACACTCTTTGGCTTTGTTGTTTTCAAGAAAGAAAACGAAGCTAGGCTTAGTGAATCAGCCTATGCCGATTTCTGGGGTTTCAGCTGCTTCCAGTGGGGACCTGTGATGTTTGCAGAGAGAATTCATGGATACAGAGTGAAGTGAGGAGTGCAAATGAATATTAAGTTATGTTGGCAGCAGAAGCAAAGGAATCTGGGCAGCAGAAGCAGAGAAGGGGGTCCAGCCAGCATGAAATTAAAAGACAGAATTCATCAACGTCCGTGATTAGGAGTCACAGATATTATATTTTAATCTCAATATTCAAGTTATCGATGTGGTTGGCTAGTACACCTCATGGCTTGGTGTTGTGATATTATTTTAGGTATTTTTAAGGATATAATACTCATTTTAATGCAAACGCCAGTATAATTCGATGGCATTCTTTGCCTCCATGGGTCATATGTGAAGCCTGGGTGAAGCTTGGAAGAAGTGGGCAGAGTCCACAGGCCTAGAGCCCCATGGTGTAACTTGCAGTAACTGGTGACTAACCCACCAAGGCCTGAGTTACATGTTTGGGAACAGAGCTTCAACTACCAAGGGCGGTGAGGCATGATGGAGAAAATGCCCCCTTATGCCTCTGCTCTGCTTTTATGGTGAATTCTTAAACACATGATAAAGTCAGAAGGTATTATTATTTGAAGCATCCAGAGAGAGCCTGTAGGTGAGCAGTTATCAAACTGAAGTGTGCATTTGAATCAAGTGGGGAACTTCTCGAAAACGTAGGTTCCCACACTACCACCCTTCCCAAGGTGGGCCTTGAAATTTGCTGGGCATCTGTGGTGTCCTTCCCAGGTATAAAATTAGGAGTTAGACTTAGTAATTCAGAGCAGGAATCTGCATTTTGACTTTCTCCTAACTGGGTAGGAGGCTGCTGGTCCAAACACCACAGGAGAAACACTGAGTCTTCCCTTGTTTTATCCTGAGGAAGGCATGGAGGCCCAGAAATACTCAGTAATCTGCCCAGGGTCACACACTGCATGGTCACAGCTGGGTAACATACAGGGCTTCCCAAATTTGCTGTCCAAGATTGTGGTGAGAACCAAATGTACATGTTTGAAAACTGTCAGTGCCCCATGGATACAATGGGGAGTGGTGCTTAATAACCAAGGGACAAGGTCCTAGTAGCTAAGAAGGACTATGGTGAAGAAGAGAGAATACCAGTCTCCCACTGGTCCAGCCATTCCAGAGACTCATCAAGGTAGTGCCAGGGTGAGGTGACCCCCATCGTGTCTGTGCACAGGTCAGCCCCCACCCCCTAGGCCTTTCCCCTGCAACTGTCTTCAGTGGTAAAAAGAAGCAAGCCTAGAGAAACTCGAGTTCCTTATTTGTCACAACATTTTCCAAGGTTTTTTCTGGCAGAAGGAATCCAATAAAAGGACTTTAGATTGGGCAACCTGGATTCCCACCCCAGGCAACTAATTGGCCTTACTTTCCACATGGGTATAATGGGAATAATCATCTTTGTTCTCCTGCCTCCTAGAGGCTTTATATGGAAGAAATAAAGAAATGATTGGAAAAAGGACTTTGAAGTGTCAAAGGCATTCTGAGGCTGAAGGATTTTCGCCAACATGCTGTGCTTCTCTAGGTTAGGAAAACCCTGGATGCCACCATGCAGACCTTGCAGGACATGCTGACCGTGGAGGACTTTGACGTGTCTGACGCTTTCCAACACAGTCGATCTACAGAGTCTGTAAAGTCAGCTGCCTCTGAGACCTACATGAGCAAGGTCAACATTGCCAAAAGGAGAGCCAACCAGCAGGAAACAGAAATGTTTTATTTTACAGTAAGTGGTGTCCTAGACCCAAAACCCACGTCTGCTGACCCACTTGCTGGCTGTGACTCACGGGGCAGCCAAAGCTGGTGGGAGCCAGCAAAACCACGGGGGTCAGTTAAGACCTAAAACCCTTTCAATATGCTTCTCAAATGAAGTTGCCTAGCTTAGCTTTGTGAAGTGCAGAAAGTGAATTACTAGTGGGTAGCCTTGGCCTTGATCTTCGATTGGCAGTTATGGCAACTTTCCTGTTCTAGAAAGAAACCAGAGAGGGAGTTGTATTCACTAGGGTGTGAGGAAAATGGCTAACAGAGGCAGGTGCGAGCCCCAAGTAACAACCCTCAAGGTTAGTGTATGGTGAGCATGTTGAATTGTTTTAAGTTTGTGCATGGGCTGTGGAAACAATGCCCTGGGTGAGGTATGGAAATTGCTGGTGAGTTGCCAGCCCTTCTTGTAAAATCCTCGATTACTTAGGTTCCACTCTGCCAGGGGCAGGGCAGAGCAAGGGTTAAAGGGGCACTGGGGCTCTGGTGTACCCTGTGCTTAGTAGTAAGGGAGCCCAGAATTCTCTATTTCATCTGAATGTTTGATCCCATTCAGCCGTATCCATGCCAGAAAGTCATCCAGACTCTGCTTGAACAACCCCAGATATAAAAGCTCCCTCTTTTCCCCAAGCAGCCCTTTTGTTTGGCTTGTGGTTGGCTGTAGATACATGATGTTTTCCCTTATCTGTTATCTTCAGAAATCTGCCTCAGTAGGATTTCTGGCCATTGATCTTGACTCTGTTCTCTGGGGCAACCCAGAGAGAGGCTGATTCTACACGACAGTCTTTGGCATGGTTGCAGGGAGCTGGGTTTTCATTTTTCTAGGCAAAACATACCTGATTCTTTCCATTGTGCCTCATAGGCTTTCATTTTGAGTGGCCTGAGGATCCTAGTAACTCTCCCCTGAACATGTTCCTTTTGTCAATGCCTCTTCTAAATTGAGACTCCCAGGAGTGGTCTGAACAGCACAGAGCAGAGCTAATAGAGCCTTCACCTCCTTTCATACCAGCTGCTATGCTCCTTTTCATATGTCCTGAGATCATAATTTTTTTTAAAGGTTTCTTTTTTAAAAGCTATTCTTTTTTTTTTTTTAATATCAGTTAAACCTTTATTCCCTGTGTTCTGCTGTTAAACCAGGCCACCCTCCTCCTAAAGGATGGGTAGGTAATATCTAGGTTAGGTCTTATGTCTATCACTAACTAGATTTCCTCTTGATGGATTCACTTCACAGTTATAGACTGTCAAGATACTGAATCATTTGTTGAACATACATACTGTCTCTTCAGACCTTCTGTGTCTGCAGATTCAGGGAGCCTGGCCTCCATGCTGTAAAGTTTGTCAATTAAAAAGACACATGAGTGTGCCAGAGCCAAGGCCAAAGGCGGAGTTGTTCAAAACCTGCCACGAGGCTGATATTGATCCACTTCATCAGCATTTGTAGATGGTGATCATTTAACTAGTCACAAACCCACCCGATTCTAATATCCAACTCCATCTTGTGATAGGCTTCATCAGATCCCTTGTTGAAAACCAATAGTTGACACGTACTGCATTGCCTTGAAAACACTCTTTGGCTTTGTTGTTTTCAAGAAAGAAAACGAAGCTAGGCTTAGTGAATCAGCCTATGCCGATTTCTGGGGTTTCAGCTGCTTCCAGTGGGGACCTGTGATGTTTGCAGAGAGAATTCATGGATACAGAGTGAAGTGAGGAGTGCAAATGAATATTAAGTTATGTTGGCAGCAGAAGCAAAGGAATCTGGGCAGCAGAAGCAGAGAAGGGGGTCCAGCCAGCATGAAATTAAAAGACAGAATTCATCAACGTCCGTGATTAGGAGTCACAGATATTATATTTTAATCTCAATATTCAAGTTATCGATGTGGTTGGCTAGTACACCTCATGGCTTGGTGTTGTGATATTATTTTAGGTATTTTTAAGGATATAATACTCATTTTAATGCAAACGCCAGTATAATTCGATGGCATTCTTTGCCTCCATGGGTCACATGTGAAGCCTGGGTGAAGCTTGGAAGAAGTGGGCAGAGTCCACAGGCCTAGAGCCCCATGGTGTAACTTGCAGTAACTGGTGACTAACCCACCAAGGCCTGAGTTACATGTTTGGGAACAGAGCTTCAACTACCAAGGGCGGTGAGGCATGATGGAGAAAATGCCCCCTTATGCCTCTGCTCTGCTTTTATGGTGAATTCTTAAACACATGATAAAGTCAGAAGGTATTATTATTTGAAGCATCCAGAGAGAGCCTGTAGGTGAGCAGTTATCAAACTGAAGTGTGCATTTGAATCAAGTGGGGAACTTCTCGAAAATATAGGTTCCCACACTACCACCCTTCCCAAGGTGGGCCTTGAAATTTGCTGGGCATCTGTGGTGTCCTTCCCAGGTATAAAATTAGGAGTTAAACTTAGTAATTCAGAGCAGGAATCTGCATTTTGACTTTCTCCTAACTGGGTAGGAGGCTGCTGGTCCAAACACCACAGGAGAAACACTGAGTCTTCCCTTGTTTTATCCTGAGGAAGGCATGGAGGCCCAGAAATACTCAGTAATCTGCCCAGGGTCACACACTGCATGGTCACAGCTGGGTAACATACAGGGCTTCCCAAATTTGCTGTCCAAGATTGTGGTGAGAACCAAATGTACATGTTTGAAAACTGTCAGTGCCCCATGGATACAATGGGGAGTGGTGCTTAATAACCAAGGGACAAGGTCCTAGTAGCTAAGAAGGACTATGGTGAAGGAGAGAGAATACCAGTCTCCCACTGGTCCAGCCATTCCAGAGACTCATCAAGGTAGTGCCAGGGTGAGGTGACCCCCATCGTGTCTGTGCACAGGTCAGCCCCCACCCCCTAGGCCTTTCCCCTGCAACTGTCTTCAGTGGAAAGATGGTGATGTTCTGATGCTCCTTTAGAGGTTATACTGAGGCATGCTGAGCCTCTGCAGCCAATAGTTCTGCTCCTCAGCATCCCTTTCTGAGCATTCTAGCTGGGACGATAGAATGGATTTCTTTGTGAGAAACCAGCTGGCAGGTTTGGGGCAACCACGCCCATCCTGTGCCTTCTTTTTGTGGGGTTTGCAATTGCCGTTCCTTCTGCTTAGAAGACTCCTTCCTGCATGTACATGCATGGCCTCTCCTGACCTTCTTCAGGCCTTGTCTCACATATCCATGCTGCAGTGAGGTCTGCCCTGATTCCCTGTCCCTTCATTCCTGCCTTGTTTTCATCAACAGCATTCCCCACCTCCTGACCAATTGTGTATTTTACTTACTTTTTTTGTTAGCTTATTTTCTGTCTCCACGCTCTGCATTGTCAGCCCTACAAGGTGAGGGATTCAGCTAAAGTTCTTAGCCCTGACCATATCCCTGGCCCAGCTGAAGCCACTGGAGGTTCAGAAACAAATTGGGTGTTGACCCCTCCGCAGCGGCTCATGGTCCAGCAAAGGTGCACCCCGACAGAGGGTGCTCCGGGCTGTTTGGGTGATGCAAGTGGGCATCAGGTGGAGGGCCTAGGCAAGCTGGTACCTATGTAGAGCCATGACTGAGACCTGGCTGGATCTGGGGGCCGGTGGATGTGTTTCTCTTCTGGGTGCTCCCGTCCCTCAGCATTGCTGCAGAGCATACTGTGCGTGGTGAGGCCCCAAGACTGGAGGCTGCGAGGGACCTTGGGCAAAGCACTTCTCTGTGCTAGCCTCATGCATGTCATCTGTAAAAAGAAGAAAGCCACATCCCCCCATTGCAGTTTGGATTATTTTAACACGAATAGGTCTGTAGGGGCCTGCAGATACCGTCCTCCCTCAGTGTGGGGCCAGAGGAAAGAAAGACTGGTTCCGAGGCTCCTCTGTGACAGATGGGATAGAGCGCTGCTGCCTTGGCTGCGCGCCCCTGGGATGGTTCCCATTTTTATTGCCCTTGTCCCAGAACCACCACGGAGCTTTGAAGACTAAGGAAGCCCTCTGTCTGGGCTGCTGCAGCCCTCACCTGACAAGAGTGCCTTCCTTTGCTCCCATTCCTCCGAGCCTGCTTTGTGTTCCCAAAACTGACTTGCAATGTGCCAGAGCCCTCATGGGACTGGACAGCCGTGCTGGGTAAAGCTGGGGGTCTGACGGGGAGGAGCAAAGGAGCAGAGGCCCCTCTTTTCCCCACTCCAGGTCCTGACTTCCCCACCCTGGAGGTCTGTTCCAAAGGCAGAGCTGATGTGACTTGGCCCTGCAGTCTGTAACGTCTCTTTGCTTTGTGTCTTACAGAAATTTAAAGAATATGTGAACGGCAGTAACCTCATTACTAAGCTGCAGGCCAAGCATGACTTACTCAAGCAGACCCTGGGCGAAGGTGAGTCGGGTGGTGAAGGCCTCTGAGGAGGGACTGCCTTCCCCACTGGGTTTTGTTGTGGCCTCTTGGGCTGTTTCAGTTTGAGACACGGGTCGCTTGGTGGAATGAGGCCTGGTACTGGAGCCACCTAGCAGGATTGGGCAGGGTGGGGAAAATAGTGCAGGAACAGATGCTGCCGGGGTCTACTCTAGCTGCAGAAAACATGGGGCAGCCATAAGTCTTGGTTCAGGTTCTGGGGGAGGGTCCAAGGCAAAGGTGTCCCCCATAGGTAGGGGGTGGGACCCAGGGACACAGATGTCCTCACGGACACTTTTCAGCAAATATTATTTGCCAGGAATACTGTTGGAGTACCTGGCCAGGAGTATAGATCTTGAGAAGAAAAATATATATGCAGAGTTGGTCCATGAGGGACCAGGAAACTAGACTTAAAACTACCCCAAGGCTTCCAACAGCAGCTGGAATGATACCATAACTGTTCTCATGACACATGAGGCCTTATCTCACTTGACCTCCACCTGCTTCCATGACCTGATCTACTATTCTCCACTTCCTTACTGTGCTCCAGCCACAGTAAGCTCCTTTCTGCCCTTCAAAACCCATTGAGTTTACTCCTGCCCCAGGGCTTTGCATATGCTGTTCCCTCCACCTGGAATGCCCTCACCCCAGATCTCTGCATGGATGGCTCCTTATCCTTCAGCTGCCCGCACAGATGTCACTTCCTCAGTGAGACTCTCCTTGCCACCCAACCTCAAGGAATCACCCACCTCAGTCCCAGTGCTCTCTGTTTGATTTTCTTCATCTCGCTCATGGCCACATAAAATCATCCTGTTTTTTATTTGTTCACTTGCCTATGGTCTTGGTCATGTCTCCCTGCCGCCCGCCCCAGCAGTATCATGCCTTCAGTCAGAGTAGAGACTCCCTTGCTTATTTTGTCCACCACTTTATCTCCAATGCCCAGACCATACCTGGGTCATAGCAGGCACTCAAGAGCCACTGAATGAATGTTGAATGGAAATGTCAGCAGGACATGAACCAGGCCACAAGGTCGGGGATGGTTTGGCAAGTCCTGGTGCCCCTAAAACCTGGTGTGAGGCTCAGCTGTGGGGGGAGGAGCTGAGCTGGGCTTTCTGAAGCTGCTGGGGCCCTGTTTGGAGCACCCTCAGCCCCACATCCAATGTATTGTTATATTCTGTTTAGAGAGGGCTGTTGGCTGACAGGCATGCTCTACCAAAAGGAAAGAAACCAGGGACTTAAAGGACCCACACAAGAGTCATGAAGGGCATTTCTTAGGTGACAATGCCAGTAGATCCCAAGATGACAGCTTGAAGCAGGCTAGCCATCACCCAGGAGTTCTTCAGGGAAGGAGGGGAGGGACAGGTGAGAGCTGTGCTGGGTGCTGGCCGTGGGATGCTTGCCACCCATGACACGTCCTTGCCCCTCACTGGACCACTCTGTTTCCCATGTGTGTGCACCTTCTGGTGGCTATGCTCTGGCCACACGAGTCCGTCCTAACACTGTCCACCCGGCACCTATCAGGTGGGCTGTGGGAATCTGTAGATGTGTGGCATTTGCCAGCCCCATGCTTTAGAGGGAATGTTGATCATTTAAACCATTTCCCAGCCCCAAGACTCTTATAGTCTAGCTGGGAGACAACTCATGAATCCATGAAAAATTAAATAGTGATAGTGCTAATTCATACAGAAATAGTTGATGAATTACCAGGTGAACAGGACGGACTCTGAGGGCTGTGAATCAGGTGGGGAAGGGGTCATTAGGGCACAGAGGAGCTCAAAAGGCTTCAAGGAAGATGAATAACTAGGGTTTGGAGGAGTAACCAGGGCTTTAAAACTAGTATCAGTGGAATTTTTTTAATCAACTTGATTGACATGTAACTTAAATACAATAAGATGCACGCATCCATTTTATGTGTAGAAATCAGTTTTGACAAACATATACATCAAGATCAAGGCATAGACTATTTCCATCACTCCCAGAGTTTCCTTGTACCCCTTTCCAGCTAATCCCCCCTGGCTATTCTCCACCCCAAGCAACCACTGGTCTGATTTCTATCACCACAGATTAGTCTGGTGTGTTCTCACAGGGAGGTTTTGCGGGTGATAGAAATGTTCTGTATCATGATCTGGGTGGTGGCTGTGCATGGATGTACACATTTATCCAGACTCATCGGTTGTGGGGTAAGGTTGAGGAAGAAGCTTTTTCTTCACATCCTCCTCCCCACACTGTCCACCTTCTGCCCATCCTGACTCTGCAGTCTTGGGCCCCGAGTGGGGCCGTGGAGGAGTGTGGGTAACAAAGAGGGGACCAAAGCAGCGAGACTGGAGGGAAAGACACCAAGTCCCCAGGGAAGCCCGGGTGGCTGTGTGACAGGGCGGGAGGGTGCTTCTGTGGTCGCGGTCCTGGAGCCTGGGGACTCTTTTTCACGAGCTGTGTGGACTGGTGTATTTTCAAAATCAGATGCCCTGGATTTAGAAAACTAGATGTTATTTTAAAATATAAGATCCTAGATGAGAAAGTACTTCTCTCCAGCTCCCCCATGAGTGTGATTGCATGCACCCTTTCATCACCATGCTTTGCCTGAATGGCATTAATGAAATGATAATTCGTTTTGGTTGGCGTGACTCCTGATCCGGGTGGTATTCCAAGGTTATTGAGCCGTCAGCTATGTTTGCTCTGAGATGTGGCTCGCCAGCCCTCCTGGGTCTTGAGATGAAGTGCAACAAAACACTGCAGGAAAATACCGCTTCGGAAGTGTAAGGGCAGCTAAGTCAGAGCCATTGAGGGGAATCTGCGTAGTGTCACTTCCTGCTAAGCCATTGGTGGGGAAGCCCATTGTGCTTCCTTTGATAACTAGGATGGGTCTTGTTAGACTGGCCAATTCTGATGTGTTTTTTTTTCTAATAAATCTTTTGTTTTTAAATAGTTGTATATTTACAGAAAAGTTTCAAAAGATAGTACAGAGTTCCCAGGCACTCCACATCCAATTTCCCCTATTATTAGCATCTTCATCTGTTATGAATATAGTATATTTGTTACAATTAATGAATCTGGATATGTTATTATTAACCAAAACTAATAAATTACTGAATTGCTGAAAACACTGATGCTGAGACAAAACCTTCAGTCATTTCTGTATAGCCATTGCCAGATAAAGGAGTATGTGGAAAGAATTCCTAAGACAATACCCCTCTCTTAGGGTATGAAAGTGGAGAATGTACACTAACTTACATTAGTAAAGTTCCTGCCTGTTGGACAAAGCGGGGGCATGAAAAAATTGAGCAGTCTGACAAGAGAGCACAAAATCTTGGCTGATTCATCCTTCGGAGTGTCGATAGATGGTTCACCTCTACCTGCGCATGTTGACTCTCCCATTCAGTAGAAAGCTCCAAGAGCGGGCTAGGGCAGGGTCACCTGTATCAATGTCCTTTTTATGTCATCTGAGGGCTATTTTGTATTGGGAAGGACAATCTGGCAATTTTGAAAGCAGGTGAGAAGTATGAGGCTAGGAAGAATATTTTGAAAAGACAGATACAAGGCCTTTTTTATTTTTAGAAATTTTTTATTAAGGTATGATTGATATACACTCTTATGAAGGTTTCATGTGAAAAAATAATGTAGTTACTACATTTACCCATATTATCAAGTCCCCACCCATATCCCAATGCAGTCACTGTCTATCAGTGCAGCAAGATGCCACAGATTCACTATGTGCCTTCTCTGTGCTACACTGTTCTCCCCGTGATCCTCCACACCATGTGTACTAAGCATAATACCCCTCAATCCCCTTCTCCCTCCCTCCCCAACCGCCCTCCCACACCCCTCCCCTTTGGTAACCACTAGTTCATTCTTGGAGTCCCTGAGTCCGCTGCAAGGCCTTTTTTTTTTTTTAATGAAATGATATGTCATGTCCAGTTCCTCAGTTTCTCTCAAGTACTCTTTTGACAGCTTTGCTCAAGGAAACTCAAGGTCTTTTGGTCATTCTTATGTAGAAGCAAATTTTTTAACACGATTGACCCCAGACGCACAAGTTCAAAAAGCTTCAGTGTCCCACATATGGGCCCTCCTTGTTACAGTTGTCACCACCACATCCTGGGGACAAGAATACACAGCCTTATATGCCTTTGGTGGTTGCTATTTTGTCTTATTAGCCAGAGGATTCTTACTTTATTATCATCTCTGAGTCTTAGATCTCTGACCTTTTTATTGCTCTGGGTAGTCTGTAAGCTCCAGCATTTACACCCAAGACACAGGTGATTTTTCAATTTACTCTAGCCTCTCAAGGATGGATAGTGCATTGTCTATAAAAGGGGTGGGACATAACCTTTCCAGGCCAAGATGTAATAGCCCATCACAGAGCAAATGTCTGCCAGGACCAGACAGTCTGACCTTCTAGAAAATGACTGAGCCACCAACTGTAAAATATTTTTTAAAACTCTCAACAGGTCTCAGAAGGTAAAAGGCAGGGCACTTCTGATGTCTGATTTTTGTCAGAACTTGAGGCACCACATTCCAAAAGATGTTGGTGATGGGTTCTTGAAAGCTGGAATGTGAGTCTGAATCTAACAGGGAATATATTAGATTCCTTGCCAGAGGAAAGTCTGTCTTGAGTGTGTTCTGACATTCCACTCCAGGACCTAAGCCCTTTGATTCCTACTTCCCTGCTTCTTCTCCGCCTGTCCCTATTTGTCCGTTCACCTGTCCATCCATGTATCCAAAGCAAGGTGTTATGCTCAGCCAGGACTGGGGGTACAGAGTACACAGGACAGACAAGGTTCCTGCCTCTTGAGGAAGAGAGACCTCCAATAGTAAGCAAACTATTAAATAAAGAATTATAACTGTCATAAGTGCTATGAATGGAAAATTGGAGCTCAGAGAGAGAACAGTTATTCATGTCAAGGGAGGGATGGGAGGACCTGCTTTAGGATGGGTGATCAGGGAGGCCTGCGAGGGGAGAGGAGGTAGGTTTAAGCTGAGACTGAAGGAGGAGAAAGCATCAGCCACGTGAAAGGCGGGGGAAAGAGTCCTGGGGCAGAGGGAACAGCATGCAGAGGGCGGGAAGGACTATGGCGAGTCAGAATTGAAAGGAGGCCAATGTGACTGGGCCATAGTGAACTCTTAGAGGAGTGGGAAGTTTTGGAAGTACGAGGAGCTGGGGCAGGAAACCCCTCCTCTGTCTCCTTTGTAATCAGAGTTACACAGCTGACCATGGCTCTGAGGGAAATGATGTATGTTATAGTCAGTACAGGCCATTGGTTGACCCCTTTCCTGGATCGCCATCAGCTTCAACACAGGGTCTTGGGTCTACATGAACATTTAACTTACACGGTACCTGGTAAGAATTTGCCCCAGAACCCAGACACACAATCAAATTAAATAGAACAAATTTGTTTTACTTAACTTTTCTCCCTCCCTGCTTTGGTTTCTGGCTGCAGTTCAGCCAACTGCAGGCACTCTTGTAGCTGCTTGTGGCTTTGGTCAGAAATTAAGGAACTGTGTGTTGATTTGCTCCAGGTTCTTCTTTTGGACCTCTGTTACTCTCTCCCTCCCCTCGTTTTGCTCCCCAACCCCATTCAGCATTGTTTTCTGTAGAGAAAATAACTTCTTGGTTCTTTCTTTAAAAAGTTCCTTCATGTGAATGCTGGATGGGGTTCTAGAGTCTAGAGCTGTGCTGCTCAGTGTGGTGGCCACAACCACATGTGGCCACTGAACCCGTGACACATGGCAAGTCTGAACTTGTGTAAAATGAACAACAGATTCAAAGAGTTAGTACCCTCCCCCCAAAAAAAATACCACTCTGTCTTCTTAATTCTTATTTTGATACATACTGAAATAATATTTTTGATGTATTAGGCTGATACAATATATTGTTAAAATTAACCTCACCTGTTTCTCTTTACTTTTTGTAATGTAGCAACTAGAAATTGTGGCTTGCATTATACACAGTTGACAGCACTGGCCTAGATGTTCTCTACTGCACCATAAAAAGATCAAAGTACTGAATCATGTCATATGGATGAACCTCAAAAGCACTATGCTAGGGGAAAGAAGCCAAATGTAAAGGACCACACATATTGCATGATTCCATTTTTATTAAATGTCCAGAATAAACAAATATGTAGAGACAGAAAGTTTATTAGTGCTTGCCATAGGCTGGAGGTGGGAAGAGGGAGTGACTGTAAATTGGCACAAGGGATCTTTTTTCATGTGATGGAAATTGAATTGTGGCAACAGTTGCACAACTTTGCATATTTGCTGAAGATCATTGAGCTGTGTATTTCAAGTGGGTGAGTTGTATGATTTATAAATTATACCTCAATAAAGCTGTAAAATATGAAAAAGAAGGCAGTGGATAGGAGTCTGGATTCCAGAGAAATGGGAGATCTGGAAATAAGATGAGGGAGTCCAGATAAGATGTAAGCCTCTGAGACCAGCCAGAGAGGGAGTGTGGAAAGAGAAGAGGAGGCCCAGGACGCATCCTGGGGACCTCCAGGCTTTTATAAGTTAGCGGTTGGGCAGATGAGGAGGAGGCTGAAAGAGAAAAGGAGGAACAGCCCCTGGGGCAGGAAGGGGGCAGCCTGAAAGTGTGGAGTCATGAAAATCATGAGAAAGCTTTAGAAAAAAAAAGGGAGCCAGGAGCTGAGTGGTTGGTGCTGAGAAGTCAGGTAAGAGCAGACGCTGACTGCATTCTGCCATACAGAGCGGTCTCTGTGCAGCGGTGAGCACGGAGGCCATGTGTGGTGGGGAGCTGACCGCACCTCTAAGCAGCTCCTTCAGGCAGGGGATGAAGGATGGGGGTGTAGTTAGAGGGAGAAAGGGGGCACGGGGGCTATTTAAAAAGCTAAGTTAGGTGTGCCCGGAGCATGTTTATATGCTGATGGATGCAGTCCAGAAGACAGGAGAGAGGGGAGTGCTTGCAAAAACCAAGCCTGAGAAGGGCAGAGGAGATAGGGCCCAGAGCACAAGGGCCAGGGCTGGGCTTGGTCAGGAGCGGGACTCTGCCTCGGGAGTACCAGGAGACGGGGTAGTGGGCAGGCATGGGTAGGTGGGTGGTCTCATGGAGGCATGCTGAGACTGGCTCACTGATTTTCTTTTCCAGCCAATGAAGTGAGAAGGTCTTCAGCTGAGAATGAAGGCAGGAGGGGTAGGGGTGGGTAGATAGCAGGCTTTAGGAACAACAGAAAGGTCTTAGGGCTGGTACCCTTCAGGCCAGCATAGGACAGGGACTCAGTAAATTTGTTGGTATAAAGTAGTGCATGAGTTCTAGAGCTTTGATGGGCATAGAAGGGATTGCTTAGGGTGCTGGTTAAAATGCAGATTCCTGGTTCTTAGCTCAGATATTCTCATTCAAGGGGCCCATGAGAGAGCCAAAACATCTGTATTTTTAACCAGAACCCAGAAGATTCTGATGCAAGTGGTCAGCTGTAGTTTGAGAATCACTGAAAAAATGTATGTTACAATAAATAATGAAATGAACGGAGCCCAACACATTTGAGGCACTGGGGATTTAATAAGACTCAGTTCTTTCCAACAGACCATAGCTTAGGCATAATTAAAATTCACATTTAACAAATAATTAAATTCAGTTGTTTCTTATTTTTTGAAAAAGATGAATGTTCTCTGGTTAAAAAAAGAAACAAACACCAGTGTACTCTTTCCTTTGCAGGGGAGAGAGCAGAATGTGGCACAACCAGGTAAGAGCTGGGGATCTGTTCTTTCTCCTACTGCCTGAGGTGGGGAGTGGGGTGAGGTGGGAGGAGCAGGGGAGGTTGGAAGTGGGAGGACAGACCCTGCTGAGTGCCCAGGGAAGCGGGGGGGTATCCTCAGGACGGGATAGCTGTTCACCAGGAACCCCATGGGCGGCGTGGCCCTGCTGAGAAGGAAGCATACGTGCTGTTTCTTCTGCTTTGCTTGTTCTGGCATTAGATTGATGAAGCCACACCTGCTCCCAGCTGGTGATGGGGAGGGGCCTTTCAGAGCTGCTGTGGGAAGTACAGTATTTTCCCCTGGCTCTATCCATCTGGTGGGACTGTAATATATATTGCAGGGTGGCTGAGGGCAACCAGTAGAGGCCAGAGGCTGTGGGGCAGCTGTTGACCCATTTCCGCATCTGTTACATGGCTGCTGAGCAAACTGCCCAGTCTAAGCAGGGGGCCCAGGCTGGGGTCCCCATTTGCCAATGCTTTGGAGTGGCTCGTATCACACTCATCTGGGCATATGCATGTGCATATCCACAGCTGCCCCTGCTGCCCACACCCTGGCTTCGGACCCCCTGGACACTTGGATGGACTGATGGGGGCGTCCCTACCTGAGAGAGTAACGAATGGGCAACTTCTGCTTTCTGTCCAGCTTGCTCAACATTACCCTCCCTGCTTCTCCCCGAGTACACCAGAGCCAGTGAACACTTTGCACCCGGCAGCTGATAGTCAGCAACTGGGCTCTTTCCTCTACTTTCACAGTTTAGACCTGTAAACAGCCCTGTCACTGCTGATGTTGTTTCCTAGAGCCCGTCCATTTCTGAGTTCCCAGCAATAACTATCCCACTGCCCATCATGAATTTGGCCAATGGCCCAGAGTTCTGTACGTTTTTATCATGCGGCAGTTGAAAGCGGCTTTTTGCCTCATTCTGGGCCAAGTGACCTGATGACATCTTTTCCCCGCAAAGTCTTCCCTGTGGCCCAGAATCCTGGAAAGCTGTCATACTTGGCAAGAGGGAGGATGAATCCTCAGCTCTCTCCTGCTCATCTGTAAGGCAGTTTGCTGGGAAGAGGCTTGGGAAGATCTAGGGTTTTCCGTTCTCTGGGCCTAGGATGGGGGAGGGGGAGACTGCGGACTCTCAGAAGCTTAGTCTGTGCAGCTGTCCCTCAAGGCCTTGGCAGTCTGGGACCCCAGGATGACTCATAATGCCAGGCGAGGACCTTCCAGCACATGGGTCAGCAGATGTGCAGGCTCACTTTCTAAGAACCTTTTAGAAACAAAATCCTTATTTATTTATTAATTTTTCTCACAAGAGGATGTTATCATAGCCCCAGAACAACAGAAGCCACACTTTACACCAAAGTTTACAAATAGAGAAACAGACTGGGGGTTGGGGGTGTGGGTGGGGGATGAATTGAGCTGTCCCTTACTTGCCCTTAATTCTTAGAAGTCATGTGATCGTAGGAGAGATCTGTAATCAAAACCGTGACCACGTCCCAGGGTCTACCTCAAAGAAAAGTTGAGGGTTTTTTTTTTCTTTCCCTTAAATAAAGCCTTCTGAGATATCTTCTACTCCCTCTTCAACCTCGGGCCTCGGAAATCCAAGCTAGGATTACAGACCTCCCACTTAGATACACTGCGCTAAGCTGCAAAGCCAGCCATCTGCCCTCTGGCCCTTGGCCAATGTCAAAGGCAACTTTATTAGTATATGAAACGTTTCCCCTCACTTCCAAAAATAATTTTTAACTTGTTCAGTGAATGGCCAACTTGGAAGTGGTTTTAAAATTAATCTTACAGGCCTTGCCTGAGATGTTTCTATATCCTGCCCAAGGTTGGTGTCATTTTAGATGATTTGTGAGCAGGTCCCCAGCCAAGTTGCTGCTGCTGGCCTTGCATAGAAAGACCAATTTTTGCACATGGGCTGCAACATACTTTGTATTTTCTCACACTTAAGAACCTTACCTTAAAATAGTCAAGTTCATAACTCCATACTTAGGCTGACCAGACACTGCAATGCACTTGAAAAGTATATGGTAAATGGCAAAGCCAGATGTAAACCTAAGGTTTGATTACAGTTATTCACGCTATAGACTGGCTTCCCTAACCCAGGCTGGCTTGTCCCTGCAGTTGGGATTAGCAGTGAGATCACTTGAGATTTCTTGTGCACACCCAAGCAGTGTGTAAGAGCCTGACTGCCATTGACCTACAATATAGCTACCATTTCAGATATTGACACCCACGTCTATTGGGTTGTCAAGGGAAAATCTTAACACTGTCCTTTTGGTCATAGAATAATTCTGAAGCCAATTCCTGTGTTGCCATCGTATGTTAAATTTTATCTTGGTCAAAAGGCAGAAAGGGGACATTGGTCTCTGGTTTCTCTTTCTTCCTCTCCGTGGCTCTCTCTGTTCCTGTTTTCCCTGCCTCTCTTTCTTTCTTTCTTTCTTTCCTTTTTGCTCTGCAACTGAGCAGCAGAAGAGATGGAAGGCTTAGGCTGCCCCACTTTCCTTGGCTGAGCTGCCCCCCCGCTCCCCACTTTGTGCCCCACCCAGCACTTCAGTAAGTCGGTATCAATTTGATGTCATGCAAAGTTGGGATAGCTACGTTTCCTTGTCAGAGATTGCAGCCAGTGCACATAGCACCACACAAATAAATAAGGTCCAGTGTGATTTGAACAGTCCCTTGCTTTCTGGACTGGGCAGGAGAAATGGGAACAGTATCCTGTTTTCCCTTTATTCCATTTTATAAACTTAAAGAAAACATCCTTAGGACTTGTTTTAAGGAACACCCCCACCCCAGCTGGACACCCTAGATTTTTTTGATATGGGGTGTCCGACACCTACATTAAGAGTCTCTACTCTTGCTGGGATTTTAATAGAGAATTTAATGCTACTGCTGGATGTTCTGTGATAAAACCAACTTCCCAATTTTACACTCACATCAGATTCTTGAATAGGAAGGGCTGAATTCTATTCCCAGTCTCAATGACATATTCTCTGTGTGACCTTTGGCAAATTCCTTAATCTCTCATGGGTTCACCTGGCTTATGTTGAAAGTGGGTTTAATAATTGTTGCCTACCTCACAAAGTTGTTGTGGATATCATGCAATGTGAGATAAGGAAATGATCCGAGAATGTTCACAAAAAGAAATGCCAAACACCGAAAATAAGGCGGCAAAAGATTGCTAGCCTCAAGCTATTCCTAATGCCAAGACTTAGAACCTATGGCCTTGTGTCACATTTGAAATGCAAAAGCAAATTGACTGTAAGAAATACCACTCCTACATAATCACATCCTCAAAAAATAAGTTAACTTATGAAAAAGAAATGACATGGACTTAGCTAACCAAATTGACATAGATCCAAGATGGGCTCAAAATAATCTTGCCTGTTGTTTCTTTTCAAAATTTTGGTCTGTGCTGTTATTTTGGTTCCAGTGTTTGGGTGGCATGATACTTGGATTCAGCTGTGTCTTTGCCCATGCATGTCCTGGAGCTAGCAGCATTTGCTCAATAACCCAAACACCTAGGAGAAGTTGGTTAACATTCTCTAGATGGCTGGGCTGCTGAAGGAGACAGGCACGATAAGGCCTGTGAGCAGAGGCAGCATGAATCTCATTCACCTTAATTGGCTCCATAGTCCATAAGATTTCTTGCCCATTCACAGAAATCAATTCCAGACTTGGGGGACCAGGTCTTTGCTTGTCATGTGAGGACATTATGTGTACAGGCTGGGTCCCCACTTGTTGCTCCCCAAATTGTGGACCAAGCCATTTGAAAATGAACTGCCTCTCTTGGTTAGGGGCCCTCCTCCTAACCTCAGAAAGCCCTTTGCCCTGGAAAGCTGGCAGCATTGAGTCAGGCCAACTTGGGTGACGAGAGATGAGCAAATAAGCCAACACAGGTGTATGCATGGTAAACAACTCTGGAAACTGGTCCGGTGTTTGTGGCTGTTTCACTGTTCCTGGTGAACTGTGGTATGGTCTCCCCTCCCTGTGGCCAACAGTGGAACACAGGGAATGGAAATCTTAAAGTAAAGCAAGACACTTTCAACCTGACCACATGGCTCCTCTGCTTGCAGGGGCTAATGGGGTGGATGAGTCCTTGACTGGAAGGGGAAAACTTCCCTAAGGCTCCTCAGCTGGCCTCAGGGGAAAATTTTTGAACTTGGAGCCAAAGAGGACTGTGTTTGGGGCCAGTTCCCCTCTGTTGATTTCAGTTGCTGCTTCTATAAAATGGGGCCATACATATAGGGTTGAGTTAATATTAAGTGTGATAATGGATTTGAAAGTACTTTAATTGAAAGAGTATCTGATTAAAAACAGGATATAATCATTGTCCTGGGACCCCAAAGAAACTGCAGCCTCCCTTCTGGCTTCAGTTTCTTCAGCTCTAAAATGAGAATAACACTTGCCTGGCTTTTAAATAACAAAATATAGTCAAGTGCATTTGAAATGGCCTTAGGAGGATCAGTGCCCTGGTATATTGGGGGTTGAGATTTGGTGATGAATTTAAGCCAAAATAATGAAAATTAACCCTTCCGATCATCTTTGAAAGTGTCTTGCTTTCTCAGGCTACAAATTACATCTCTCTCCCCTGATTCCCCCTCCATCTGGTCAGCGTTGCAGGATGACAGCATCTGATTGGAGTTTCAGTGGTTTCCTGCACACGTACTATTCCCCCGCTATGATTTAGAATGCATTTGTGTTAATACGAGTGTTGCTCCTGCCTGACACTGTGGGTAAATTGAGCTCCCCATAAACATCCAGAGGCCTTCAGATGGAGCATTGGATGCCAATGTGCCGGGGGTTCAGGGGCTTCCATTTGCATTTTGTGTTCTCCAGTCATGGGTTTAAGAGCATCTTTCCCAGTTGTATGTTTGCGTTGGTTGCTTTCTTGATTTCTTTTGTTCCATTTTCCCCTAGGCCCCCCTGTCTTCCCCCTAAGCCACAGAAAATGAGGAGACCTAGGCCTCTCTCAGTGTGTAGCCATAAACTATTTAACGGCTGTATGGAAACATTCATTAAGGTACATGCTGGGGAGCCACGGAGTCCGCGAATGCACCCAATGTAATGGCAGCCTCTCTCCACCTCCTTCTGTGGGCCAGCAACCCTGCCCCGACCAACCAGAGCTTCCAATCCTTGCCTTCAGCCAGATCCTCTAGCCAGCTCCTTCCTCACTGCAGCCTGCTCTTAGCTTCAGTGAGGGCTTCTAATCAGAGCTGCTTTTGTCTCCGACCAGTTGATCCTAAGTGCCTACCCATTACTCTCAGCCCTGGGGAGGGATAAGATTGTGACAAAACCCACTGAAGTTGGGTGGGGTTGAAAAGCCAGCACAGTGGTCCCTGCCAGCCATGATTTATTGCTTCAGGAACTTCAGTCTTACCTAGCCCCAGGGGCAGTTAGGAAACCTCCTCACCTCACTTCACACCCACATCCCCCCAAAAGGAGACTGGTTGGAAGCAACATAAAATTTGTAAGAGAGAAAACCCTCCTGCTAGTTTTGCTTGTTAGGTGCTTTGGGAGGAGGGAGAAGAGCTACAGTAGTCCCTTTAGAATTCCAGGTTAGCCCTTCACACCTTAAACTAAAAAGGAGTGTTTCAGCTCAGTGAGTTTCTCTTTTCTTGCTTCTTGGATGCAAAGGGATCCCAGATAGGGATGGCTCAAGGCAGATTAAGATGACCATGGGGTTGAAAGGGGCAGCTGGTGGGGGAGACCCTTGAGAAAGGGGACATGCATTCTTAATGTTGCATAGGAGGAGCAGGGAAAGGTCCCTGCCAGTTATTTGAGAACCCACTTCCATCTAATGAAGATACTTTCTGCAGAAAAGAGGCCAATCTGGAGAAAAATAAAGGCCCTTGGACTTTGGTGATGACTTTGGAGTAGTAGAGACTGTCCCTGCTCCGGCTCTCTGTCCTCTGTCCTCAACCAGGGTGTGCACAGCATTTGTAAGACAGGGAGAGTTGGTTCCAGGTGTGGGAGTGGGTAAGCAGGACCAGCCTGGTTCCGGGACTGCCTCTGCCTGGGGACAGAGTTCTGGGGAAGGAGCAGTTGGGCAAAGTGAAGGTAGAACATCCAGGCACAAGTTGGGACTGCCCTGGGGCTGGGAACAGCAAGGGCTGCTTGATGACACTTGAGAGGCATGAGGCATGGAGGATCTCCAAAGGAGGTGAGCCCCTGGGTACGTCAAGAAAGAGGTACTGTTTGGAGGTAACCCCCAGTGAGCAGTTTGCCACCCAAAGGTCATGGGAAGGTGGGGCTGTGTCAAAAGAGTCCTTCTTTCTTCAACTTCCCTCCTATCTCCACCGGGACTTTCTTCTCATTCACCCTTGCCATTAAAAAAAAAATCCATTCTGCAGAGTGGGGAGGGGACTGAAAGGTATATTAGCTCTTCTCCCTGCCCTCAAGGAGCTTTTAGTGCCACTGAGGAGGTTTTTGACATGGAAAGCTGACAGGACAAGGTGATTCAGGATGAGCACTTGGTGGGTTATCCCATGGAAACAAGTTCTGTAAGAGCTCAGAGCAAGAAGAGCTATGGGCAGTAGGGATGGAAACTTAGGGCTCTGCAGGAAGGGTAGGAATCAAGTGGAAAGGAGAAGGACAGAGGAGGCCCTGGAAGGAGGGACAAGATGACCAAAGGCTCAGAGACAGGGATGCCTCCCCAGATTTGCTCAGCTCTTTGGACATGGGTGATCAGTCAGGACACTTGGAAGGAGCTGACTCTTATCTACAGGACATGGAAATTAGGTGTTCTGCTTAATGAAATAGTCTTTTACTAGAGAGCCCTTATGTAAAATGTGTGACTGTCAAGTAGTCTGACTTTATTCCTCCAAACAAATCAGAACCATATGAGTGTCCCTGGAGGCAGTCACCTTGGGAAGCCACATTCTCATTCCAAGTATGCAGCCTTTGCTGCAGTTGGTCAGTCTTCCCTAGAACCCATAGCATGGCCTTTGTCAGTGGTGCCCCAGCTTTGTATTAGAATAGATACACTGGCCTTTGGAATAAAAAGTGTGACCAAACTCAAGTTTTGCAACACCAATGGAAGTAGAGGATCGCAAGAGGCATATACCACAGTGGGGCTGGTCACCTGGCTCTGAAAAGCCACTAGCAGTGGCACGTTGTTGGAATAAGTGCACAGCCTCCTCGGGGGACTAGTTGAAAGAAAAACACTCATTTGACTAAAAAAAGTTTCTATTTGCTAAACATAATTGCATTTCTTTAAAACTGCAGTGTACTTATACCACATACTAGCTGTATGTGGACAGACTTGCGTATGGCACGGTCTCACTCTCAAGGATTAACTTTCAGAGGATGGAAGGGCAGTATAAGGTACTCAGTCCCTCAACCTTTGTAAACAGAATTTAATTCTTTTTATTTTATGATTCACATGCTGTCTGGGAGAAAATTCTGTGTGAACTAAGAATCCCCAGCTTTGAAATGCCCAACCTATGGAAGGCTTTTCAATAAAACCCATCACTGGCCCCCCTCATTGTGAGGGTTCAGAGGGACCAGGAGGCATCCCTGAGTTAAAAATGATGGGCGAATGTTGTTGGAATTACTTCTGTAAATGTCTAGGATCTTACCTGAATTGTTCCTTTTCAAAATCCTTGACTTTCTTTCTCCTCTCAGTTAGAGGGAAACTCAATTTTTATTATAATCTTGAGGTTCAGGAGTCTCCCTCTGGAGCTGGGGGAAGAGTCTCACCTTGCTTCTATAAAATGAGAATAATAATTATCTACCTTGTGACGGTGTGATGAGGGTCAAATGAGCTAATACATGCCGTGTTTCTAGAGTGCCATCTGGCACTCAGTAGCCTATGAAATGTTAGTTATTGTTAGTTAGTTAGCCATTAGCTTCTAGGAGATTGCTCATACAGCCGCATCTGAGCAGGCTGTTTGCTCAGTTCTAAGATTCAGGGAGGTTCAGCCCACATGTGGTCATGCCAGTTGTTGAGATGCTGGGACTGCACAGATGACATCTGCTGGAGGGTGCTTTTCAAGGTGGCCTCCTCAAAGAGCCTGCATGAGATAAGCACTCCCCCCAGGGCCTGGCCTGCTGCATGTGGGACAGAAAGAACAGACAGTGCGCCCTGCAAATGGGTGACTTCAGTGGCTTTCGTGTAAGCAAAGGCTCCAGTTCTGCCTGCCGAATTGTGGAGGTGTAGTGACTCCACGGCCCTTCCTGCCCCCGGCCTTTCTCAGCTTTTGGTCCCTCGGGTGTTCTCAGTGCCAGCATGAAGGTCAGGTGGGAGGAAGGAGAGCAAGGCCAAGTGAAGACCCAGGAAAGCTCCCCAGGGTGTTTGGTAGGAAGGCACGGGAGGCTGTTTGGAATTTGGAATCAGGTGGAATTCTGCAGGGTCCTATCCAGAGGGCACCTGGTGCACACGACCTCAGTAGAATTAGCTCTTTACTAAGAATGTTTCCTGAGCTGACTTCCAGAGACAGCATTACAGTAGCCACATGAAGATATGTGTCCCTCTTTTTCTCTTGGGCAGGAAGGCCAACATTAAGGGATCTTAGGTGGGTTCTTGCCCATTGGTACATTAATAGCCCCAGTGTTGAGAAGAGGCTGGACCTGAGATGAGGAAAGGGTCCAGTACGTACTGTTTCTGCTCTTTGATAAGGACAGATAGAGGCCCCTCTGCCACCTGGCATCTAATGCAGCCACATGGAAGGCTGGCTAGAGGCAGGGCCAGAGCCCCACCGAGGCCTTGTGGCACAGGGGTGGCCCTCCCTCCCCACTGGCAGGCTGGTTGCCAGTCTCACTGGACCTTTGCTGGCTGCCATTGCATTTTGGCGCTCACGGACTCTGAAGGATCTGCTCACTCTAACTGATCTTACTCCTGCATAATCTTTTCTTTTTCTCCTGCTCTGCTGCCTGTTTATTTTTTGTTATCAGAGGAAGAAGAAATGCTCGAACCAGGAACCAGGTATTTACTAGAAAGGTCCATTAGCCCCATTCACCTGGATAGAAGCTGTCTTTGGTACTGACTTCTGGAATGGGGCCCACCTTGCCTGTTGCCAGTGGGCCCATTTTGTTATCCTCCCCCTGACCATAGTTAATCAAGGAAAGAATTCACATGGGGGTGTGGAGGAGCCATGAAACATCCAAATTCATGGTTTTTCTGTCCCTTTACAAGAGCATATTACATATGCCTTATTATTTCCTTATCATCTGAGGAGGCTGGCAATTTAATTTGGCCCCTTTTAAAATAGTTTAAATAGGATTTTATGCTCTTTAAATGACCCAAAATAATAGAGGTCAACCAATCATGGAATCCAAAAGAAAATTACCCCTTGTCCAGCTCTTTGTGGCCATGGGCCAGTGTAGGAAGAAGTGATTGAAAATACTTTCACACCCCAGATGCACATGTTTGGAATTGCATCTTATTCAGCCTTTTTGACTAAGGTTGGCCTTTCAATGGTCAATGGCTGATGTTAGCTGTTCTAGAATTTGTAACATGTTAATTGTTAAGGAAAAAAAGAGTTATCTGGATGTTTATGTTGCAATGTCATGAATAAAACTGGACTTCCCTTCTCAGAGCTCAGAAGGACATGTGGGACCAGCTTTGCTTCTCCCATAGTGTGTTCTTCTTAATTCTGGCATCAGGTACTGCAGAGCTAGGAGGAGGCCTTGATCCTGCCTTTTTATCCCTTAGCACTGGAATAATAGGGTTGAGTTGGGGCAAAGTGGAATGGTAAGCAGAGAGCTCTTCAGGAGCAGACTCCAGCCCCTTCCCCGGGGTGGGTTCCCTCTGCTTCCCAGATATGCCTGTCAAGCCTCCTGAGTCCTAATTCTTTGCCAGCTAAGTAAGAAGACAGAGCATTTCTTTAAATTTATAGCTATGCCTTTTCCTGCACATACCTGAAGGCTGTCTAATTGTTTGTGGAGACTTTAGGATTAGCAGTTCCTTGCTTGTTTCAACTAATCTGATGGTACTAATACTCTGGCTTGAGTTTGTAATCTGTGTTTGCAATGTCTGTTTTCTAGCAGTGGTTGCCTAGCCCAATACAACTCACGATTTCTTTTTCTTAAGGACTCAGGACAAGCTATACCGCTTGTAGTCGAGAGCTGCATCCGATACATCAATTTATATGGTAAGTTTGATCTTGGGCCAGTTTTGTCAGCACTCTGCAGAACAGGTGCTTGGCTGTTCTCATAGGAAATGAGATTTCTAATTCATCTCTGAGGACTTGCCGTTACTGCTGTCTGCTTCCGAGAAGGAAGGCGCCTGGAGGAACAGCTGCCATTCTGAGGGTTATCTTCGGAGCCTTTCATGTCAGGGGATAGAGGGTGGTGAGAGGAGACCCTGGAACTAAGAAAACTGAGGAGCAGGGAGGGTACAGACAGGAGAACCATTTTAGTTTGTTGCCATCCAACTCCAGATCTCTGTGCTTTAAGCACTGACTGTAGTTGGCAATCAGTCAGTTCATGCTGCTAGACTATAGTAGCTCTGGAGGAAACAGAGTGTCTGGGATGTGCGGACCATGGTACTCCCAGCACTTAGCTTGTGCCCCCATCTACTCATTTATTCATTCCTCCAAAAATAGATCTTCAGAGTTCATAGCAGGTGCTCTTTTAGTCAATGGAAGTACAGGCATGAAAAAAACAGGTAAAATACTAGCCATAGGTAGAGTGTGTTACTGGTTAGGAGGACAAGGAAATAAACAAGCAGAGAAACAAATAACATGACTTCATGTGGAGATAATGCCAATAAACGGACTAAAAGGGGCTAGAGAATGGCTGGAGGGGGGCCAGGCTGCTTTGACTAAGGTGCTAAGGAGACACCTCTCTGAGGGGGTGATATTTGAGTGGAAGGAACCAGCCAAGCAGGCCAGGTGGAGAGGATGGCAAGTATAAAGGCCTGACATGGGAAGGAAAGCTGGTGTGACTGACCAGGGATGAACCAGGAGGATGGGGGAAGAGCCACGGGCGGTAGAAATTCAGGATTGGGTAATGAAAGAAATGAAGAAACATTTATTGAGCGCATACTGTGTATAAACCACGCATTGACTAAAGCCTGCCTTTTAAGGGTCAACACTTTTCATAATGTGGAGAATTGTTTTATACAGAAAAACTAAATCCTAAGATCACAGTCTTCCTCATTAAAATTCCTATTTAGGATGAGAGAGGCCCTTCAATTCCTTCAGTCATATAGGTTGCTGTTATGTCACTACTATATGTCAGGTATCGAGGTCTCCTCTTATGCCCTGTAGAAACACATGAAAAAGGGATTGTTTTTCTTTAATAATTTAATCTCCCCCAAATTCCTTGACCCCAGGCCAGCATGCATTATAGACTCTAGCTTTTCTTGAACAAAGAAGATGTCAGTGTAAGGGGTAGGAATAGTTGAGCAGATGGTATTGATCATTCTTGTTCAAAATCTCTGTGGCTGTTAAACTCAAATGGCGTTTGTAAACTCAGGCCAAGCCACTTGGTACCAATGCAGCTGGTGAACTGGGAAGGCAAAGTGCACCAACCAGGTATTTGATTGAACTGACCTGCTGGTTAAATTCGAAGTCATGCGCTGGTCCAGTACTGATATAAACTTCTTGTGGCCTTTCCTTTCAAGCCCTGTGGCAAGAGATGACAGACATATGAAGCAGGATGTGGCTGAGTATTTGGGCCAGCTGAAGTTCACTGCAAAGGCTACTTTTAGGCTTCTGTCAGGAGAACTTCACTAGGAATGGCTCTTTCTTATAAACGATGGTGGAAGAAAGAGACAAGCAATGGAGAATCATCCATGTTTGCAGTGGTCTGGCGAGCTCAAGGCCTCATGGCATTTTCTGTTCGTTTGTTTGTTTGTTTGTTTGTTTTAGGACTCCAGCAGCAGGGGATCTTCAGAGTGCCAGGATCTCAGGTCGAAGTCAACGACATCAAAAATTCCTTTGAGAGAGGTAGGTGCAGGCCATCTCAAGCTTGTGTCCATGGGAAGCCAGGGTGAGCGTTGATGTGTGCCTTAGAGCCTGCGGTGTGCTGATGCTGGCTTGTATCAGTATGGCTTTTCAACTTCTCATTCAGCAACTTCATCTTGGAAGCTTGAAATCAGCCAGGCCAGGAGTATTTATAACACAGACATCAGCAAACACTAAGATCTTTTATTTTTCTTTCCCCCTTCCAAAGTGCTAGCTGTCAAACATTTAGCAGCATATGTGTGTGCCTTTCTCTGGGGGGCTGTACAGTGGTTGCTGGGGACCAGGGCCTTGTAGAGCACTCTGGAATTAATATGTGAGTCTATAAAGGCTGCTGCGTTTTAGAAAAGTTAGAAGAACATAGATAACACTTGAGTTTCTTTTAGAATATATCCTAATTCTTAATTTTATACAGTATTTTTGGCAAAAGCTATACACTGGGAGGAAGAGACTATGATACTCCCTTATACCCTCTATAAGATTATCTAGTTCCCACTTTCACCAAGGATATAATATTTTGTTAGAAATGGAGTGGCCACCAGAACAGGTGGTTTGTTTAGCATAACCTCCCTTGGTATCAGAGTCCCTGCTGGGGACAGATGGCCAGTGACAGTGTCTTTGCAAAGTAAGGACTCACTGAGGCTGGAAAAGCTCAATTTGCATTACATCTCTGCCTTTTTATGTCCAGTGCTTATCTCACTACTACAGTGAAATGGAAAGTCTGTCAATTTCATTCAAGGAACTATTTGAAAGCGTCCTGCTCCCTGGTTGTTGAGCCAAGCTCAGCATCAGCACATTCGTGTCCTCATCCCAGGGAAAGAAGAAGAGTTAGTCTGTAGGCATCCTAAACAACATCTCTCCCTCCAGCTTAACAGCATTTTGGAAGGATCACATCTCCATAGCTTACACCTCTTAACTCTGCTGTGCTAGCTTTTTCTCTGAGTGGTTCTTATTCTAAATTTGGTCTGTAGAGCCCAATCCCAACCTGTTTCCCCATATCATATCCCAGTTTACAAAGCAGTTTCTTCACATTCTTCATGTAAGCCTTCCAACAGCCTGGGGTGTGTGTGGTTTGTCCCTGCAGGCTGTGCTCTGAGTGGGCCTCTCCCGGGGGTCCCAGCCCTGGAATACTCCCTACTGATCGTGAGGCTTCTCCTAGAGGAGCTGCCTCCCGAACAAACTCACCACCTCCCTGTCCCCCAATCCCATCCTGAGGTCTAGCTTCGGAGCAGAGAAAGCATTCTGGCAGCTCCAGGTGGTCACCCCCCACAGCACAGACCTTTGTGGCCTGGCTTGGAACTGGGTGTAGAGACCAGGATTTGACTGAATGTGGGGCTCAGTGGCCTCCTAGGGTCCAGGGGAACTTCAATTTGGGACTATACTCCAAGTTCTTGAGCACTTAGAACCAGACAGCCCCAGAATTCCCCTGCTTCATGCTCCTAACTCATGCTTTATCTGTCCATTTATTCATCCACTCAGAAAGCATGCATTGGTAATGGATGAGGGCTTAGAAATACAACACAAACAAAAGACAGTCATGGCTGGTGGGGGAGCCGGTTTACTAAACAGATGGCATGATCAGTGCAAAGATGGAGTTAAGCCCTGGGTAGAGTAACCCGGCTTGGATGGAACAGGGTGTGCTTCCTGGAGGAGGAAATGCCTAAGCTGGGGCTTAAAGTGTAAAAGCCAGGTGAAGCAGGTAAAGAGCATTCTAGACCAAGGAAACAGCATGTGCAAAGGCTGCAAAGCAAGAGCTATTGCCAATCAGCCTCCCTGAAGGAAGTGTTGTTCATCATTTTCTTTTTTTTTTTATTGAAGTGTCATTAATATACAATCTTATATTGGTTTCAAGTCTTCAACATTACCCATATTATTAAATCCTCACACCCACTAGTGTGGTTACTATTTGTCAACATAGGAAGGAAGATGTTAAAGAATCATTGGCTATATTCTCTATGCGGTACTACCATCCCTGTGACTGATTTATATATATTATGACCCTCCCCCTACCCACCCATCCCCTCAGTCTCTTCCCCATGGTAACCACTAGTCACTTCTCAGTGTCTGTGACTCTACTGTTATTTTGTTCATTTTGTTTTGTTTTGTTTTTATACTTCACAAATAAGTGAAATCATATGGTATTTGTCTTTCTCTGCCTGGCTTATTTCACTGAACATAATACCCTCTAGATCCATCCATGTTGTTGCAAATGACAGGATATCTTTTTTGTAGCTGAATAATATTCCATGATGTATATGCACCACATCTTCTTTCTCTGTTCATCTATTGATGGACACTTAGGTTGGTCCCATAACTTGGCTATTGTAAATAATGTGGCAGTAAGTACAGAGGTGCATTTATCTTTTAGAATCAGGGATTTTGTTTTCTTGGATAAATTCCTGGAAGTGGGATTTCTGGGTTGAATGGCATTTCTATTTTTAGTTTTCTGAGGAACGTCCTTACTGCTTTCGACAGTGGTTGCACCAGTTGATATTCCCACCAACAGTGCATGGTGGGTTCCCTTTTCTCCACATCCTCGCCAACACTTGTTATTTCTTGTCTTTTGGATAGTGGCCATTCTGACTGCTGTGAGGTGATCTCATTGTGGTTTTGACTTACATTTCCCTGATAATTATTGCTGTGGAGTTGTGCCTGTTGGCCCTCTGTATTTCTTCTTTAGAGAAAGGTCTGTTCAGGTTGTCTGCCCATTTTTTAATTGGGTTATTTGTTTTTTTGGTGTTGAGGCTTGTAAGTTCTTTATATATTTTGGATGTTAACCCCTTATTGGATAAATCATTTACTAATANTGAATGCTGGATGGGGTTCTAGAGTCTAGAGCTGTGCTGCTCAGTGTGGTGGCCACAACCACATGTGGCCACTGAACCCGTGACACATGGCAAGTCTGAACTTGTGTAAAATGAACAACAGATTCAAAGAGTTAGTACCCTCCCCCCAAAAAAAATACCACTCTGTCTTCTTAATTCTTATTTTGATACATACTGAAATAATATTTTTGATGTATTAGGCTGATACAATATATTGTTAAAATTAACCTCACCTGTTTCTCTTTACTTTTTGTAATGTAGCAACTAGAAATTGTGGCTTGCATTATACACAGTTGACAGCACTGGCCTAGATGTTCTCTACTGCACCATAAAAAGATCAAAGTACTGAATCATGTCATATGGATGAACCTCAAAAGCACTATGCTAGGGGAAAGAAGCCAAATGTAAAGGACCACACATATTGCATGATTCCATTTTTATTAAATGTCCAGAATAAACAAATATGTAGAGACAGAAAGTTTATTAGTGCTTGCCATAGGCTGGAGGTGGGAAGAGGGAGTGACTGTAAATTGGCACAAGGGATCTTTTTTCATGTGATGGAAATTGAATTGTGGCAACAGTTGCACAACTTTGCATATTTGCTGAAGATCATTGAGCTGTGTATTTCAAGTGGGTGAGTTGTATGATTTATAAATTATACCTCAATAAAGCTGTAAAATATGAAAAAGAAGGCAGTGGATAGGAGTCTGGATTCCAGAGAAATGGGAGATCTGGAAATAAGATGAGGGAGTCCAGATAAGATGTAAGCCTCTGAGACCAGCCAGAGAGGGAGTGTGGAAAGAGAAGAGGAGGCCCAGGACGCATCCTGGGGACCTCCAGGCTTTTATAAGTTAGCGGTTGGGCAGATGAGGAGGAGGCTGAAAGAGAAAAGGAGGAACAGCCCCTGGGGCAGGAAGGGGGCAGCCTGAAAGTGTGGAGTCATGAAAATCATGAGAAAGCTTTACAAAAAAAAAGGGAGCCAGGAGCTGAGTGGTTGGTGCTGAGAAGTCAGGTAAGAGCAGACGCTGACTGCATTCTGCCATACAGAGCGGTCTCTGTGCAGCGGTGAGCACGGAGGCCATGTGTGGTGGGGAGCTGACCGCACCTCTAAGCAGCTCCTTCAGGCAGGGGATGAAGGATGGGGGTGTAGTTAGAGGGAGAAAGGGGGCACGGGGGCTATTTAAAAAGCTAAGTTAGGTGTGCCCGGGGCATGTTTATATGCTGATGGATGCAGTCCAGAAGACAGGAGAGAGGGGAGTGCTTGCAAAAACCAAGCCTGAGAAGGGCAGAGGAGATAGGGCCCAGAGCACAAGGGCCAGGGCTGGGCTTGGTCAGGAGCGGGACTCTGCCTCGGGAGTACCAGGAGACGGGGTAGTGGGCAGGCATGGGTAGGTGGGTGGTCTCATGGAGGCATGCTGAGACTGGCTCACTGATTTTCTTTTCCAGCAAATGAAGTGAGAAGGTCTTCAGCTGAGAATGAAGGCAGGAGGGGTAGGGGTGGGTAGGTAGCAGGCTTTAGGAACAACAGAAAGGTCTTAGGGCTGGTACCCTTCAGGCCAGCATAGGACAGGGACTCAGTAAATTTGTTGGTATAAAGTAGTGCATGAGTTCTAGAGCTTTGATGGGCATAGAAGGGATTGCTTAGGGTGCTGGTTAAAATGCAGATTCCTGGTTCTTAGCTCAGATATTCTCATTCAAGGGGCCCATGAGAGAGCCAAAACATCTGTATTTTTAACCGGAACCCTGAAGATTCTGATGCAAGTGGTCAGCTGTAGTTTGAGAATCACTGAAAAAATGTATGTTACAATAAATAATGAAATGAACGGAGCCCAACACATTTGAGGCACTGGGGATTTAATAAGACTCAGTTCTTTCCAACAGACCATAGCTTAGGCATAATTAAAATTCACATTTAACAAATAATTAAATTCAGTTGTTTCTTATTTTTTGAAAAAGATGAATGTTCTCTGGTTAAAAAAAGAAACAAACACCAGTGTACTCTTTCCTTTGCAGGGGAGAGAGCAGAATGTGGCACAACCAGGTAAGAGCTGGGGATCTGTTCTTTCTCCTACTGCCTGAGGTGGGGAGTGGGGTGAGGTGGGAGGAGCAGGGGAGGTTGGAAGTGGGAGGACAGACCCTGCTGAGTGCCCAGGGAAGCGGGGGGGTATTCTCAGGACAGGATAGCTGTTCACCAGGAACCCCATGGGCGGCGTGGCCCTGCTGAGAAGGAAGCATACGTGCTGTTTCTTCTGCTTTGCTTGTTCTGGCATTAGATTGATGAAGCCACACCTGCTCCCAGCTGGTGATGGGGAGGGGCCTTTCAGAGCTGCTGTGGGAAGTACAGTATTTTCCCCTGGCTCTATCCATCTGGTGGGACTGTAATATATATTGCAGGGTGGCTGAGGGCAACCAGTAGAGGCCAGAGGCTGTGGGGCAGCTGTTGACCCATTTCCGCATCTGTTACATGGCTGCTGAGCAAACTGCCCAGTCTAAGCAGGGGGCCCAGCCTGGGGTCCCCATTTGCCAGTGCTTTGGAGTGGCTCGTATCACACTCATCTGGGCATATGCATGTGCATATCCACAGCTGCCCCTGCTGCCCACACCCTGGCTTCGGACCCCCTGGACACTTGGATGGACTGATGGGGGTGTCCCTACCTGGGAGAGTAACGAATGGGCAACTTCTGCTTTCTGTCCAGCTTGCTCAACATTACCCTCCCTGCTTCTCCCCGAGTACACCAGAGCCAGTGAACACTTTGCACCCGGCAGCTGATAGTCAGCAACTGGGCTCTTTCCTCTACTTTCACAGTTTAGACCTGTAAACAGCCCTGTCACTGCTGATGTTGTTTCCTAGAGCCCGTCCATTTCTGAGTTCCCAGCAATAACTATCCCACTGCCCATCATGAATTTGGCCAATGGCCCAGAGTTCTGTACGTTTTTATCATGCGGCAGTTGAAAGCGGCTTTTTGCCTCATTCTGGGCCAAGTGACCTGATGACATCTTTTCCCCGCAAAGTCTTCCCTGTGGCCCAGAATCCTGGAAAGCTGTCATACTTGGCAAGAGGGAGGATGAATCCTCAGCTCTCTCCTGCTCATCTGTAAGGCAGTTTGCTGGGAAGAGGCTTGGGAAGATCTAGGGTTTTCCGTTCTCTGGGCCTAGGATGGGGGAGGGGGAGACTGCGGACTCTCAGAAGCTTAGTCTGTGCAGCTGTCCCTCAAGGCCTTGGCAGTCTGGGACCCCAGGATGACTCATAATGCCAGGCGAGGACCTTCCAGCACATGGGTCAGCAGATGTGCAGGCTCACTTTCTAAGAACCTTTTAGAAACAAAATCCTTATTTATTTATTAATTTTTCTCACAAGAGGATGTTATCATAGCCCCAGAACAACAGAAGCCACACTTTACACCAAAGTTTACAAATAGAGAAACAGACTGGGGGTTGGGGGTGTGGGTGGGGGATGAATTGAGCTGTCCCTTACTTGCCCTTAATTCTTAGAAGTCATGTGATTGTAGGAGAGATCTGTAATCAAAACCGTGACCACGTCCCAGGGTCTACCTCAAAGAAAAGTTGAGGGTTTTTTTTTTCTTTCCCTTAAATAAAGCCTTCTGAGATATCTTCTACTCCCTCTTCAACCTCGGGCCTCGGAAATCCAAGCTAGGATTACAGACCTCCCACTTAGATACACTGCGCTAAGCTGCAAAGCCAGCCATCTGCCCTCTGGCCCTTGGCAATGTCAAAGGCAACTTTATTAGTATATGAAACGTTTCCCCTCACTTCCAAAAATAATTTTTAACTTGTTCAGTGAATGGCCAACTTGGAAGTGGTTTTAAAATTAATCTTACAGGCCTTGCCTGAGATGTTTCTATATCCTGCCCAAGGTTGGTGTCATTTTAGATGATTTGTGAGCAGGTCCCCAGCCAAGTTGCTGCTGCTGGCCTTGCATAGAAAGACCAATTTTTGCACATGGGCTGCAACATACTTTGTATTTTCTCACACTTAAGAACCTTACCTTAAAATAGTCAAGTTCATAACTCCATACTTAGGCTGACCAGACACTGCAATGCACTTGAAAAGTATATGGTAAATGGCAAAGCCAGATGTAAACCTAAGGTTTGATTACAGTTATTCACGCTATAGACTGGCTTCCCTAACCCAGGCTGGCTTGTCCCTGCAGTTGGGATTAGCAGTGAGATCACTTGTGCACACCCAAGCAGTGTGTAAGAGCCTGACTGCCATTGACCTACAATATAGCTACCATTTCAGATATTGACACCCACGTCTATTGGGTTGTCAAGGGAAAATCTTAACACTGTCCTTTTGGTCATAGAATAATTCTGAAGCCAATTCCTGTGTTGCCATCGTATGTTAAATTTTATCTTGGTCAAAAGGCAGAAAGGGGACATTGGTCTCTGGTTTCTCTTTCTTCCTCTCCGTGGCTCTCTCTGTTCCTGTTTTCTCTGCCTCTCTCTCTTTCTTTCTTTCTTTCCTTTTTGCTCTGCAACTGAGCAGCAGAAGAGATGGAAGGCTTAGGCTGCCCCACTTTCCTTGGCTGAGCTGCCCCCCCGCTCCCCACTTTGTGCCCCACCCAGCACTTCAGTAAGTCGGTATCAATTTGATGTCATGCAAAGTTGGGATAGCTACGTTTCCTTGTCAGAGATTGCAGCCAGTGCACATAGCACCACACAAATAAATAAGGTCCAGTGTGATTTGAACAGTCCCTTGCTTTCTGGACTGGGCAGGAGAAATGGGAACAGTATCCTGTTTTCCCTTTATTCCATTTTATAAACTTAAAGAAAACATCCTTAGGACTTGTTTTAAGGAACACCCCCACCCCAGCTGGACACCCTAGATTTTTTTGATATGGGGTGTCCGACACCTACATTAAGAGTCTCTACTCTTGCTGGGATTTTAATAGAGAATTTAATGCTACTGCTGGATGTTCTGTGATAAAACCAACTTCCCAATTTTACACTCACATCAGATTCTTGAATAGGAAGGGCTGAATTCTATTCCCAGTCTCAATGACATATTCTCTGTGTGACCTTTGGCAAATTCCTTAATCTCTCATGGGTTCACCTGGCTTATGTTGAAAGTGGGTTTAATAATTGTTGCCTACCTCACAAAGTTGTTGTGGATATCATGCAATGTGAGATAAGGAAATGATCCGAGAATGTTCACAAAAAGAAATGCCAAACACCGAAAATAAGGCGGCAAAAGATTGCTAGCCTCAAGCTATTCCTAATGCCAAGACTTAGAACCTATGGCCTTGTGTCACATTTGAAATGCAAAAGCAAATTGACTGTAAGAAATACCACTCCTACATAATCACATCCTCAAAAAATAAGTTAACTTATGAAAAAGAAATGACATGGACTTAGCTAACCAAATTGACATAGATCCAAGATGGGCTCAAAATAATCTTGCCTGTTGTTTCTTTTCAAAATTTTGGTCTGTGCTGTTATTTTGGTTCCAGTGTTTGGGTGGCATGATACTTGGATTCAGCTGTGTCTTTGCCCATGCATGTCCTGGAGCTAGCAGCATTTGCTCAATAACCCAAACACCTAGGAGAAGTTGGTTAACATTCTCTAGATGGCTGGGCTGCTGAAGGAGACAGGCACGATAAGGCCTGTGAGCAGAGGCAGCATGAATCTCATTCACCTTAATTGGCTCCATAGTCCATAAGATTTCTTGCCCATTCACAGAAATCAATTCCAGACTTGGGGGACCAGGTCTTTGCTTGTCATCTGAGGACATTATGTGTACAGGCTGGGTCCCCACTTGTTGCTCCCCAAATTGTGGACCAAGCCATTTGAAAATGAACTGCCTCTCTTGGTTAGGGGCCCTCCTCCTAACCTCAGAAAGCCCTTTGCCCTGGAAAGCTGGCAGCATTGAGTCAGGCCAACTTGGGTGACGAGAGATGAGCAAATAAGCCAACACAGGTGTATGCATGGTAAACAACTCTGGAAACTGGTCTGGTGTTTGTGGCTGTTTCACTGTTCCTGGTGAACTGTGGTATGGTCTCCCCTCCCTGTGGCCAACAGTGGAACACAGGGAATGGAAATCTTAAAGTAAAGCAAGACACTTTCAACCTGACCACATGGCTCCTCTGCTTGCAGGGGCTAATGGGGTGGATGAGTCCTTGACTGGAAGGGGAAAACTTCCCTAAGGCTCCTCAGCTGGCCTCGGGGGATAATTTTTGAACTTGGAGCCAAAGAGGCCTGTGTTTGGGGCCAGTTCCCCTCTGTTGATTTCAGTTGCTGCTTCTATAAAATGGGGCCATACATATAGGGTTGAGTTAATATTAAGTGTGATAATGGATTTGAAAGTACTTTAATTGAAAGAGTATCTGATTAAAAACAGGATATAATCATTGTCCTGGGACCCCAAAGAAACTGCAGCCTCCCTTCTGGCTTCAGTTTCTTCAGCTCTAAAATGAGAATAACACTTGCCTGGCTTTTAAATAACAAAATATAGTCAAGTGCATTTGAAATGGCCTTAGGAGGATCAGTGCCCTGGTATATTGGGGGTTGAGATTTGGTGATGAATTTAAGCCAAAATAATGAAAATTAACCCTTCCGATCATCTTTGAAAGTGTCTTGCTTTCTCAGGCTACAAATTACATCTCTCTCCCCTGATTCCCCCTCCATCTGGTCAGCGTTGCAGGATGACAGCATCTGATTGGAGTTTCAGTGGTTTCCTGCACACGTACTATTCCCCCGCTATGATTTAGAATGCATTTGTGTTAATACGAGTGTTGCTCCTGCCTGACACTGTGGGTAAATTGAGCTCCCCATAAACATCCAGAGGCCTTCAGATGGAGCATTGGATGCCAATGTGCCGGGGGTTCAGGGGCTTCCATTTGCATTTTGTGTTCTCCAGTCATGGGTTTAAGAGCATCTTTCCCAGTTGTATGTTTGCGTTGGTTGCTTTCTTGATTTCTTTTGTTCCATTTTCCCCTAGGCCCCCCTGTCTTCCCCCTAAGCCACAGAAAATGAGGAGACCTAGGCCTCTCTCAGTGTGTAGCCATAAACTATTTAACGGCTGTATGGAAACATTCATTAAGGTACATGCTGGGGAGCCACGGAGTCCGCGAATGCACCCAATGTAATGGCAGCCTCTCTCCACCTCCTTCTGTGGGCCAGCAACCCTGCCCCGACTAACCAGAGCTTCCAATCCTTGCCTTCAGCCAGATCCTCTAGCCAGCTCCTTCCTCACTGCAGCCTGCTCTTAGCTTCAGTGAGGGCTTCTAATCAGAGCTGCTTTTGTCTCCGACCAGTTGATCCTAAGTGCCTACCCATTACTCTCAGCCCTGGGGAGGGATAAGATTGTGACAAAACCCACTGAAGTTGGGTGGGGTTGAAAAGCCAGCACAGTGGTCCCTGCCAGCCATGATTTATTGCTTCAGGAACTTCAGTCTTACCTAGCCCCAGGGGCAGTTAGGAAACCTCCTCACCTCACTTCACACCCACATCCCCCCAAAAGGAGACTGGTTGGAAGCAACATAAAATTTGTAAGAGAGAAAACCCTCCTGCTAGTTTTGCTTGTTAGGTGCTTTGGGAGGAGGGAGAAGAGCTAAAGTAGTCCCTTTAGAATTCCAGGTTAGCCCTTCACACCTTAAACTAAAAAGGAGTGTTTCAGCTCAGTGAGTTTCTCTTTTCTTGCTTCTTGGATGCAAAGGGATCCCAGATAGGGATGGCTCAAGGCAGATTAAGATGACCATGGGGTTGAAAGGGGCAGCTGGTGGGGGAGACCCTTGAGAAAGGGGACATGCATTCTTAATGTTGCATAGGAGGAGCAGGGAAAGGTCCCTGCCAGTTATTTGAGAACCCACTTCCATCTAATGAAGATACTTTCTGCAGAAAAGAGGCCAATCTGGAGAAAAATAAAGGCCCTTGGACTTTGGTGATGACTTTGGAGTAGTAGAGACTGTCCCTGCTCCGGCTCTCTGTCCTCTGTCCTCAACCAGGGTGTGCACAGCATTTGTAAGACAGGGAGAGTTGGTTCCAGGTGTGGGAGTGGGTAAGCAGGACCAGCCTGGTTCCGGGACTGCCTCTGCCTGGGGACAGAGTTCTGGGGAAGGAGCAGTTGGGCAAAGTGAAGGTAGAACATCCAGGCACAAGTTGGGACTGCCCTGGGGCAGGGAACAGCAAGGGCTGCTTGAGGACACTTGAGAGGCATGAGGCATGGAGGATCTCCAAAGGAGGAGAGCCCCTGGGTACGTCAAGAAAGAGGTACTGTTTGGAGGTAACCCCCAGTGAGCAGTTTGCCACCCAAAGGTCATGGGAAGGTGGGGCTGTGTCAAAAGAGTCCTTCTTTCTTCAACTTCCCTCCTATCTCCACCGGGACTTTCTTCTCATTCACCCTTGCCATTAAAAAAAAAATCCATTCTGCAGAGTGGGGAGGGGACTGAAAGGTATATTAGCTCTTCTCCCTGCCCTCAAGGAGCTTTTAGTGCCACTGAGGAGGTTTTTGACATGGAAAGCTGACAGGACAAGGTGATTCAGGATGAGCACTTGGTGGGTTATCCCATGGAAACAAGTTCTGTAAGAGCTCAGAGCAAGAAGAGCTATGGGCAGTAGGGATGGAAACTTAGGGCTCTGCAGGAAGGGTAGGAATCAAGTGGAAAGGAGAAGGACAGAGGAGGCCCTGGAAGGAGGGACAAGATGACCAAAGGCTCAGAGACAGGGATGCCTCCCCAGATTTGCTCAGCTCTTTGGACATGGGTGATCAGTCAGGACACTTGGAAGGAGCTGACTCTTATCTACAGGACATGGAAATTAGGTGTTCTGCTTAATGAAATAGTCTTTTACTAGAGAGCTCTTATGTAAAATGTGTGACTGTCAAGTAGTCTGACTTTATTCCTCCAAACAAATCAGAACCATATGAGTGTCCCTGGAGGCAGTCACCTTGGGAAGCCACATTCTCATTCCAAGTATGCAGCCTTTGCTGCAGTTGGTCAGTCTTCCCTAGAACCCATAGCATGGCCTTTGTCAGTGGTGCCCCAGCTTTGTATTAGAATAGATACACTGGCCTTTGGAATAAAAAGTGTGACCAAACTCAAGTTTTGCAACACCAATGGAAGTAGAGGATCGCAAGAGGCATATACCACAGTGGGGCTGGTCACCTGGCTCTGAAAAGCCACTAGCAGTGGCACGTTGTTGGAATAAGTGCACAGCCTCCTCGGGGGACTAGTTGAAAGAAAAACACTCATTTGACTAAAAAAAGTTTCTATTTGCTAAACATAATTGCATTTCTTTAAAACTGCAGTGTACTTATACCACATACTAGCTGTATGTGGACAGACTTGCGTATGGCACGGTCTCACTCTCAAGGATTAACTTTCAGAGGATGGAAGGGCAGTATAAGGTACTCAGTCCCTCAACCTTTGTAAACAGAATTTAATTCTTTTTATTTTATGATTCACATGCTGTCTGGGAGAAAATTCCGTGTGAACTAAGAATCCCCAGCTTTGAAATGCCCAACCTATGAAAGGCTTTTCAATAAAACCCATCACTGGCCCCCCTCATTGTGAGGGTTCAGAGGGACCAGGAGGCATCCCTGAGTTAAAAATGATGGGCGAATGTTGTTGGAATTACTTCTGTAAATGTCTAGGATCTTACCTGAATTGTTCCTTTTCAAAATCCTTGACTTTCTTTCTCCTCTCAGTTAGAGGGAAACTCAATTTTTATTATAATCTTGAGGTTCAGGAGTCTCCCTCTGGAGCTGGGGGAAGAGTCTCACCTTGCTTCTATAAAATGAGAATAATAATTATCTACCTTGTGACGGTGTGATGAGGGTCAAATGAGCTAATACATGCCGTGTTTCTAGAGTGCCATCTGGCACTCAGTAGCCTATGAAATGTTAGTTATTGTTAGTTAGTTAGCCATTAGCTTCTAGGAGATTGCTCATACAGCCGCATCTGAGCAGGCTGTTTGCTCAGTTCTAAGATTCAGGGAGGTTCAGCCCACATGTGGTCATGCCAGTTGTTGAGATGCTGGGACTGCACAGATGACATCTGCTGGAGGGTGCTTTTCAAGGTGGCCTCCTCAAAGAGCCTGCATGAGATAAGCACTCCCCCCAGGGCCTGGCCTGCTGCATGTGGGACAGAAAGAACAGACAGTGCGCCCTGCAAATGGGTGACTTCAGTGGCTTTCGTGTAAGCAAAGGCTCCAGTTCTGCCTGCCGAATTGTGGAGGTGTAGTGACTCCACGGCCCTTCCTGCCCCCGGCCTTTCTCAGCTTTTGGTCCCTCGGGTGTTCTCAGTGCCAGCATGAAGGTCAGGTGGGAGGAAGGAGAGCAAGGCCAAGTGAAGACCCAGGAAAGCTCCCCAGGGTGTTTGGTAGGAAGGCACGGGAGGCTGTTTGGAATTTGGAATCAGGTGGAATTCTGCAGGGTCCTATCCAGAGGGCACCTGGTGCACATGACCTCAGTAGAATTAGCTCTTTACTAAGAATGTTTCCTGAGCTGACTTCCAGAGACAGCATTACAGTAGCCACATGAAGATATGTGTCCCTCTTTTTCTCTTGGGCAGGAAGGCCAACATTAAGGGATCTTAGGTGGGTTCTTGCCCATTGGTACATTAATAGCCCCAGTGTTGAGAAGAGGCTGGACCTGAGATGAGGAAAGGGTCCAGTACGTACTGTTTCTGCTCTTTGATAAGGACAGATAGAGGCCCCTCTGCCACCTGGCATCTAATGCAGCCACATGGAAGGCTGGCTAGAGGCAGGGCCAGAGCCCCACCGAGGCCTTGTGGCACAGGGGTGGCCCTCCCTCCCCACTGGCAGGCTGGTTGCCAGTCTCCCTGGACCTTTGCTGGCTGCCATTGCATTTTGGCGCTCACGGACTCTGAAGGATCTGCTCACTCTAACTGATCTTACTCCTGCATAATCTTTTCTTTTTCTCCTGCTCTGCTGCCTGTTTATTTTTTGTTATCAGAGGAAGAAGAAATGCTCGAACCAGGAACCAGGTATTTACTAGAAAGGTCCATTAGCCCCATTCACCTGGATAGAAGCTGTCTTTGGTACTGACTTCTGGAATGGGGCCCACCTTGCCTGTTGCCAGTGGGCCCATTTTGTTATCCTCCCCCTGACCATAGTTAATCAAGGAAAGAATTCACATGGGGGTGTGGAGGAGCCATGAAACATCCAAATTCATGGTTTTTCTGTCCCTTTACAAGAGCATATTACATATGCCTTATTATTTCCTTATCATCTGAGGAGGCTGGCAATTTAATTTGGCCCCTTTTAAAATAGTTTAAATAGGATTTTATGCTCTTTAAATGACCCAAAATAATAGAGGTCAACCAATCATGGAATCCAAAAGAAAATTACCCCTTGTCCAGCTCTTTGTGGCCATGGGCCAGTGTAGGAAGAAGTGATTGAAAATACTTTCACACCCCAGATGCACATGTTTGGAATTGCATCTTATTCAGCCTTTTTGACTAAGGTTGGCCTTTCAATGGTCAATGGCTGATGTTAGCTGTTCTAGAATTTGTAACATGTTAATTGTTAAGGAAAAAAAGAGTTATCTGGATGTTTATGTTGCAATGTCATGAATAAAACTGGACTTCCCTTCTCAGAGCTCAGAAGGACATGTGGGACCAGCTTTGCTTCTCCCATAGTGTGTTCTTCTTAATTCTGGCATCAGGTACTGCAGAGCTAGGAGGAGGCCTTGATCCTGCCTTTTTATCCCTTAGCACTGGAATAATAGGGTTGAGTTGGGGCAAAGTGGAATGGTAAGCAGAGAGCTCTTCAGGAGCAGACTCCAGCCCCTTCCCCGGGGTGGGTTCCCTCTGCTTCCCAGATATGCCTGTCAAGCCTCCTGAGTCCTAATTCTTTGCCAGCTAAGTAAGAAGACAGAGCATTTCTTTAAATTTATAGCTATGCCTTTTCCTGCACATACCTTAAGGCTGTCTAATTGTTTGTGGAGACTTTAGGATTAGCAGTTCCTTGCTTGTTTCAACTAATCTGATGGTACTAATACTCTGGCTTGAGTTTGTAATCTGTGTTTGCAATGTCTGTTTTCTAGCAGTGGTTGCCTAGCCCAATACAACTCACGATTTCTTTTTCTTAAGGACTCAGGACAAGCTATACCGCTTGTAGTCGAGAGCTGCATCCGATACATCAATTTATATGGTAAGTTTGATCTTGGGCCAGTTTTGTCAGCACTCTGCAGAACAGGTGCTTGGCTGTTCTCATAGGAAATGAGATTTCTAATTCATCTCAGAGGACTTGCCGTTACTGCTGTCTGCTTCCGAGAAGGAAGGCGCCTGGAGGAACAGCTGCCATTCTGAGGGTTATCTTCGGAGCCTTTCATGTCAGGGGATAGAGGGTGGTGAGAGGAGACCCTGGAACTAAGAAAACTGAGGAGCAGGGAGGGTACAGACAGGAGAACCATTTTAGTTTGTTGCCATCCAACTCCAGATCTCTGTGCTTTAAGCACTGACTGTAGTTGGCAATCAGTCAGTTCATGCTGCTAGACTATAGTAGCTCTGGAGGAAACAGAGTGTCTGGGATGTGCGGACCATGGTACTCCCAGCACTTAGCTTGTGCCCCCATCTACTCATTTATTCATTCCTCCAAAAATAGATCTTCAGAGTTCATAGCAGGTGCTCTTTTAGTCAATGGAAGTACAGGCATGAAAAAAACAGGTAAAATACTAGCCATAGGTAGAGTGTGTTACTGGTTAGGAGGACAAGGAAATAAACAAGCAGAGAAACAAATAACATGACTTCATGTGGAGATAATGCCAATAAATGGACTAAAAGGGGCTAGAGAATGGCTGGAGGGGGGCCAGGCTGCTTTGACTAAGGTGCTAAGGAGACACCTCTCTGAGGGGGTGATATTTGAGTGGAAGGAACCAGCCAAGCAGGCCAGGTGGAGAGGATGGCAAGTATAAAGGCCTGACATGGGAAGGAAAGCTGGTGTGACTGACCAGGGATGAACCAGGAGGATGGGGGAAGAGCCACGGGCGGTAGAAATTCAGGATTGGGTAATGAAAGAAATGAAGAAACATTTATTGAGCGCATACTGTGTATAAACCACGCATTGACTAAAGCCTGCCTTTTAAGGGTCAACACTTTTCATAATGTGGAGAATTGTTTTATACAGAAAAACTAAATCCTAAGATCACAGTCTTCCTCATTAAAATTCCTATTTAGGATGAGAGAGGCCCTTCAATTCCTTCAGTCATATAGGTTGCTGTTATGTCACTACTATATGTCAGGTATCGAGGTCTCCTCTTATGCCCTGTAGAAACACATGAAAAAGGGATTGTTTTTCTTTAATAATTTAATCTCCCCCAAATTCCTTGACCCCAGGCCAGCATGCATTATAGACTCTAACTTTTCTTGAACAAAGAAGATGTCAGTGTAAGGGATAGGAATAGTTGAGCAGATGGTATTGATCATTCTTGTTCAAAATCTCTGTGGCTGTTAAACTCAAATGGCGTTTGTAAACTCAGGCCAAGCCACTTGGTACCAATGCAGCTGGTGAACTGGGAAGGCAAAGTGCACCAACCAGGTATTTGATTGAACTGACCTGCTGGTTAAATTCGAAGTCATGCGCTGGTCCAGTACTGATATAAACTTCTTGTGGCCTTTCCTTTCAAGCCCTGTGGCAAGAGATGACAGACATATGAAGCAGGATGTGGCTGAGTATTTGGGCCAGCTGAAGTTCACTGCAAAGGCTACTTTTAGGCTTCTGTCAGGAGAACTTCACTAGGAATGGCTCTTTCTTATAAATGATGGTGGAAGAAAGAGACAAGCAATGGAGAATCATCCATGTTTGCAGTGGGCTGGCGAGCTCAAGGCCTCATGGCATTTTCTGTTCGTTTGTTTGTTTGTTTGTTTGTTTTAGGACTCCAGCAGCAGGGGATCTTCAGAGTGCCAGGATCTCAGGTCGAAGTCAACGACATCAAAAATTCCTTTGAGAGAGGTAGGTGCAGGCCATCTCAAGCTTGTGTCCATGGGAAGCCAGGGTGAGCGTTGATGTGTACCTTAGAGCCTGTGGTGTGCTGATGCTGGCTTGTATCAGTATGGCTTTTCAACTTCTCATTCAGCAACTTCATCTTGGAAGCTTGAAATCAGCCAGGCCAGGAGTATTTATAACACAGACATCAGCAAACACTAAGATCTTTTATTTTTCTTTCCCCCTTCCAAAGTGCTAGCTGTCAAACATTTAGCAGCATATGTGTGTGCCTTTCTCTGGGGGGCTGTACAGTGGTTGCTGGGGACCTGGGCCTTGTAGAGCACTCTGGAATTAATATGTGAGTCTATAAAGGCTGCTGCGTTTTAGAAAAGTTAGAAGAACATAGATAACACTTGAGTTTCTTTTAGAATATATCCTAATTCTTAATTTTATACAGTATTTTTGGCAAAAGCTATACACTGGGAGGAAGAGACTATGATACTCCCTTATACCCTCTATAAGATTATCTAGTTCCCACTTTCACCAAGGATATAATATTTTGTTAGAAATGGAGTGGCCACCAGAACAGGTGGTTTGTTTAGCATAACCTCCCTTGGTATCAGAGTCCCTGCTGGGGACAGATGGCCAGTGACAGTGTCTTTGCAAAGTAAGGACTCACTGAGGCTGGAAAAGCTCAATTTGCATTACATCTCTGCCTTTTTATGTCCAGTGCTTATCTCACTACTACAGTGAAATGGAAAGTCTGTCAATTTCATTCAAGGAACTATTTGAAAGCGTCCTGCTCCCTGGTTGTTGAGCCAAGCTCAGCATCAGCACATTCGTGTCCTCATCCCAGGGAAAGAAGAAGAGTTAGTCTGTAGGCATCCTAAACAACATCTCTCCCTCCAGCTTAACAGCATTTTGGAAGGATCACATCTCCATAGCTTACACCTCTTAACTCTGCTGTGCTAGCTTTTTCTCTGAGTGGTTCTGATTCTAAATTTGGTCTGTAGACCCCAATCCCAACCTGTTTCCCCATATCATATCCCAGTTTACAAAGCAGTTTCTTCACATTCTTCATGTAAGCCTTCCAACAGCCTGGGGTGTGTGTGGTTTGTCCCTGCAGGCTGTGCTCTGAGTGGGCCTCTCCCGGGGGTCCCAGCCCTGGAATACTCCCTACTGATCGTGAGGCTTCTCCCAGAGGAGCTGCCTCCCGAACAAACTCACCACCTCCCTGTCCCCCAATCCCATCCTGAGGTCTAGCTTCGGAGCAGAGAAAGCATTCTGGCAGCTCCAGGTGGCCACCCCCCACAGCACAGACCTTTGTGGCCTGGCTTGGAACTGGGTGTAGAGACCAGGATTTGACTGAATGTGGGGCTCAGTGGCCTCCTAGGGTCCAGGGGAACTTCAATTTGGGACTATACTCCAAGTTCTTGAGCACTTAGAACCAGACAGCCCCAGAATTCCCCTGCTTCATGCTCCTAACTCATGCTTTATCTGTCCATTTATTCATCCACTCAGAAAGCATGCATTGGTAATGGATGAGGGCTTAGAAATACAACACAAACAAAAGACAGTCATGGCTGGTGGGGGAGCCGGTTTACTAAACAGATGGCATGATCAGTGCAAAGATGGAGTTAAGCCCTGGGTAGAGTAACCCGGCATGGATGGAACAGGGTGAGCTTCCTGGAGGAGGAAATGCCTAAGCTGGGGCTTAAAGTGTAAAAGCCAGGTGAAGCAGATAAAGAGCATTCTAGACCAAGGAAACAGCATGTGCAAAGGCTGCAAAGCAAGAGCTATTGCCAATCAGCCTCCCTGAAGGAAGTGTTGTTCATCATTTTCTTTTTTTTTTTATTGAAGTGTCATTAATATACAATCTTATATTGGTTTCAAGTCTTCAACATTACCCATATTATTAAATCCTCACACCCACTAGTGTGGTTACTATTTGTCAACATAGGAAGGAAGATGTTAAAGAATCATTGGCTATATTCTCTATGCGGTACTACCATCCCTGTGACTGATTTATATATATTATGACCCTCCCCCTACCCACCCATCCCCTCAGTCTCTCCCCCATGGTAACCACTAGTCACTTCTCAGTGTCTGTGACTCTACTGTTATTTTGTTCATTTTGTTTTGTTTTGTTTTTATACTTCACAAATAAGTGAAATCATATGGTATTTGTCTTTCTCTGCCTGGCTTATTTCACTGAACATAATACCCTCTAGATCCATCCATGTTGTTGCAAATGACAGGATATCTTTTTTGTAGCTGAATAATATTCCATGATGTATATGCACCACATCTTCTTTCTCTGTTCATCTATTGATGGACACTTAGGTTGGTCCCATAACTTGGCTATTGTAAATAATGTGGCAGTAAGTACAGAGGTGCATTTATCTTTTAGAATCAGGGATTTTGTTTTCTTGGATAAATTCCTGGAAGTGGGATTTCTGGGTTGAATGGCATTTCTATTTTTAGTTTTCTGAGGAACGTCCTTACTGCTTTCGACAGTGGTTGCACCAGTTGATATTCCCACCAACAGTGCATGGTGGGTTCCCTTTTCTCCACATCCTCGCCAACACTTGTTATTTCTTGTCTTTTGGATAGTGGCCATTCTGACTGCTGTGAGGTGATCTCATTGTGGTTTTGACTTACATTTCCCTGATAATTATTGCTGTGGAGTTGTGCCTGTTGGCCCTCTGTATTTCTTCTTTAGAGAAAGGTCTGTTCAGGTTGTCTGCCCATTTTTTAATTGGGTTATTCGTTTTTTTGGTGTTGAGGCTTGTAAGTTCTTTATATATTTTGGATGTTAACCCCTTATTGGATAAATCATTTACTAATATGTTCTCCCATCCTGTGGATTGGCTTTTTCTTCTACTGATGGTGTCCTTTGCTGTAAAGAAGCCTTTTAGTCTGATGTAGTCCCACTTACTGATTTTTTATTTTGTTTACCTTGCCTGAGGAGATGTGTCCAGGAAAAAATTGCTCATGCGTATGTTCAAGCATTCATCATTTTCCTGAGCTTCTCATGACAACACTGGATAACCAATCCAATGTCTTGTTTCTTCATTTCCCCAGTTCCTTATCACCCCTGCTGCCCTGAATTCATAATAAATAAACGGAGCTGTGGTCTGAAACCTTGCTTGTTCCATCCTCCTGGGTTCATCTCATTAAACAGAATTCCTTGAATCTCATGGGTAAACTTGGTACACAGTGCCTCCAGCCTGGTGGCCATTCCCCCTCCCCTGCCACCTTGAATTTTCCTGCTTCCCCTTTTTGTAAGTAACTTCATTGCAGAGGCAGCCAAGCTCCATCTGCACCCCAACAGCACTGCTTGCTTTCCTTTTTGAATGTGATCTTCTAAAGTCAGTGCCTACTGTCACTTGCTCAGGAGCCTTGCAGGGGTGTTGTACAATTTAAAAGAATTCTCTGCTCCTAACAAGTTTTTGTCTGTCTCAGGTAGAGCCCTGCTGAGCAAAGATCACCTGACCCAAATCTCAGCTGCAAAAGATATTTTCTGCTTTTTCTTTGCATCCCTTATGTGGTTGGCTCCTCTTCTCTTTCCATCATTCTGAAATGAATCTCATTCTCTCACGGGCCTTGTCCCTCTGCTCCACCTGAGCCTACGGTGAAGTGTGGCTTATTCTAGGAGAATAGTTGGGGTATGTTTCTTTTTGAGAAATCTATTCCTGGCTTCTCTGGGCTGGCTAGTATGCAGATTTCTGACTTCATCTTTCCTGTTTCTTGACATTCAGCCGCCTGCCATGGGTTTGGCTTCTTACCCGGCGGACGCCCAGGGTCACCTCCTCCCGCCTCTCCTGAAACTCGTTGCTTCCCTCTTCCCGGCTCCCTTGCTGTGTTTCTCTACATCCCCCCGGGATCCAGGTGGCCGGAGCCTGGGCACAGCGCAGTGTTCTCCTCCCACCCACTCCTCACATCCCACACGCTTGTGACTGAATTTTCTCTCCAAACCAGCACATTGTGTGTTTTTCCTTTCTTCCTTTTATTTGTTAAGATTCAAATCCCCTAATGCCTGCAGGGTGCCTGTCCTTTGCTGCTTGTTCAAAGAGATTTGGGTCTTTTTCTTCCTTGACTCCCTTCTTTCTCTCCTCAGGGCAGAGTTCTTGCCTGCATTCCTTGTATAAGGCTGTTGAAAGAAGCACAGATCTCTTTTCCTTAGGCGTCTGAAAAATTACAGCATGTTGGAAAGTCATTCTTGGCTGATCATTCCTAAACCTACTTTGTTTTCCTTCCAAGATGAGTCAGGGTTTCAGTTTGGATGGTGATGATGATGATGATAGTGAGGATAATTTGCTGCCAACAAATCTTAAATTCACTGCTAAAGTTTTGGGATCTTCCAGTAATTTTTCTGACAAAATGAAGGGGAAACATCACAAGAAAGGGCAGAAGCAGCAGAAATGCCATGGAGAGAGCTGTGGTTTGCTCTTGTCTCCCAGGCCAGTTTTGCTGGGGAAACTCTTTTTCCCCTTAAGCCAATCCCCTGTCCTCATAGTACGCAAAGATGAGAGAGTTGCTGGTGTACTCCCTTCTGTATGGGGGTGCTGGGGAGGGAGCCCTTAGCCGTTTCACCCTGGGCAGATGAATGAACATTGGGTTTGGATTTGGGGTGGAAGGCATGGCATGTGGGGTGTCACATTCTGGACTCTGGACCTGACCCTTCCGAGATCTGCCTCTTGCCCCAGGAAGAGGGGTGTGACCAGAAGATGCTGGCAGGGGTTGTCATGTTGAGGAGCCTCAGGACCAGCTCCGAAGGACTCGTGGCCACAGGGAACTACCCCTGTGTGGGAGAATGCCTGCCAGCTTCCTGCCTGGTCCCCTGTTTGGCAGCAACTCCCTTAGAGCCTCCAAGCACAGACTATGTGTTCACACTCTGCCCTGGGTACAACCCTGCCTTAAAGTCTTCGGCAATGCTCAGGTAACCTGGCTAAGAAGGCAGTTTGGTAACAATTTTACCTCCCTTGGGACATTAGCTAGCAAAACACAGCTTTCTCTCAGACCTGCCTGGAATTTTAGCTTTAATTCTCTTGGAGGAAGCCATCGTTCACGCAAACCATCCTGCTTATCTTGAGCTCTGGAATTCCATTCATTTCTGGAGCCAAAATTGACTAGCCTAAAAGAGAGCCAAAGGCCTGGGCTAGTGGGGAAGGAGTGTTTATATCTATCAGTGTTAATGCATGAAAAAAACCCTGTATATATATATATATATATATTTTTATATGTATTCTTTCTCTATCCACTGAAGCTTAAAAGCTCTTTCTGTGGTACTTCTTTAGAAATAAGCATACCTGGAACCTAGGTCTTGACTTCTAAGTACCTTCTCCTACAAAAACCAGAGATCCTTGGATCTCTGTTTGATTCCAGATCTGGGTGAAGGAAAGTACAGGGTGATTGGGGGACATCTTTTGGGCTAGAAAGCAAGTAAGCGCTCAATAGAGGTTATATCAAAGGGACGTAAGAAAGGACTTGGCAAAATTGGGGACTCTCTGAGCATCCCAAGCGATAGTGGTAGTAATGAATTATAACACATTGAATAAAAAATTGTAAAAACAAGTCCATAAAGATGCTTGAGAAATAAAAATAGGAGTGAGGGAACACAGGGAGAGCTCTTCCTCACAGAAGAATACCAGCTGATAAATGTAGAAGGAATAATAGTCAACATTTTGCAAACCCAGAATAATAATTGATTTAGGCAAAAATCATCATTGGATGCTGAAAGCTTTGGGTGAAACATGTTGAACACAATGACATGCACATAGATCGCTTCTGTTTTTCAAAAATATTTTATATTTTATACTTACTACAAAGGGGAAAGTATACTTTTACAATGTATAGCTCTGGAGGCTGCCACCTTAACCCAGCAATCAAACTTAGCATCTCCAGTAGCAGGACAAGTTGATATTATGTGCCTTTTACTAGTCTTGCCAAAAATATTCAACCTGAATCTACTCTTGAGGAAATTCTCAGACAGATCCACTCTTCAAAAGAGTCAATGTTACAAAAACCATGCTAACAATAAAAAATGTTGGGGTTTGTTTTACATCCAGAAGACTAAAGAAACATGACAACCAAATGACTTACTTGAACAAATGTTGATTAGATCTTAGCTCTGGAGGAAGTTCTGTGAAAGATACAGGACAGTTGGGAAAGTTTGAATGAGACTGTGTTTTGGAACTTGTTAATTTTCTTAGGTGTAATAAAGTTGTATGGTTATGTATCCTTACTCTTGGGAGAAATGTAGTATCGTATTTAATAGTGACATGTTGTGATGTCTAGAAAATTTTCTCAAATGACTGAGCAGTAATAAATAGAAGTAGAGAAAGGAAGAAATCAAATATGGCAAGGTGAGTGTAAGTTGATGAGTGTAAGTGAAAGGTGATGGTCATTTTCTAAATTTGTACAACCTTTTTATAGCTTCAAGCATTTTCAATATCAGTTGCAGGGAGAGCTCTATAAACTTCTGTGTCAGGGAGGCTGACCCTCTGCCTCTGCCATAGCTCAGGCTGGGCCAGGTCATCTCTCCAGCCAACTTCACGTTCCCTGCCTCCTCACCACCCTGACTCATCACCCCTCTTTCCTCTCAGGCGAAGATCCCCTTGTGGATGATCAAAATGAACGCGATATCAATTCAGTCGCTGGTGTTTTAAAACTGTATTTCCGAGGACTGGAAAACCCGCTCTTTCCTAAGGAAAGGTTTCAAGATTTGATATCTACAATTAGTAAGTATTTCGTGAGTGGACTGATAATTCCTTGAGAAATCTTTATCAAAGCTGCAGTATGGGTCCGTCACTGTGCCTGGCACACAGGAGGGATACTAGGAAAGCAACAGTGTGGCCTTTGTCCTCATTGAACTTGAAGCCTCGTTTACAATGGAAGGGCCAACAGGCATGGTACACCCCTGTGGATGGATGAAGCTCAGAAGAGAAGAGGTGGGGGAGACTTGGTTTCACAGATTGCAGCTGGGAAAGCGTGATGTGAGCAGGGTCTAATGGGAGAAGTGGACACAGGGAATCCTGGGAAGAGTCTGGGGACACACAGGCCAATGGGACAAGCAGAAGCGTGTCCTGGCCAGTGCATGATGTAAGAGACTGGAAGGGTAAAACAGAGCAAGACCAGGGAAGACCTCAATGCCTTCCCAGGCCAGCGCCTTTCTCCTTGGGTAATGGGGAGCAATATAGTGTTTTGGAGTCAGGTCACCAACCTGACAGATGAGGGTAATGATGAAAATTGGTTGACTGGGGGCTTCCTCTGACATCACTGGCCATCACAGTCCTGCTTGACCAGCATTTCTGCAGATGGAGACAGGAGCCCAGCCTAGGGGGCTGAAGTAAAGGCATTTTGACTGTAAGATGCCAAAATCCAAGGAACCTTTTGGGAATATTTTAAAAAATAATTTCTAATATTAGAATATGAGAATTTTAATATTTTAGAATAAACTCTTAAGTTAATTTGACTTATAGAAAATTGCCCACACCCAGTGTCACTAGCAATGCTTTTCACACAGTATCTTCTGCAGCCAAGGAAAGTTCCCCCAGAAGTGGTGATTGCCTGCGAAGGCCTGAGCCCTTGTATCTGCCTGATGTAAGAGACGCTTCCTCCGCCCTTCTACCCTCCCCAGTACTTCCCACTCATCTTTACAGAGCTGCTTCAGAGAGACCCAGGCCTTAGTCTTAGAAACTTTTGTATAGGCAATGTCTACATATAATTGAGTGAGTGACATTGTTTTGCTCTCATTTTATCTATTTTTATGTTACCTCCTAATCATGGCAAGTGATCCTGGTTTCTCATTTAAAGAATGAGGTAAAGTCTTATTTTTAAATAAATAGATTTAAGAAAAAATATTAATAAATAATAGTGGAGGTAGTACTAAGGCACTGGTGATTAAAACTGAGGATATGAAGGGCTGCATGAGGGATGAGGGAATCAATAAAGGTGCAAAGGCTTTGACTCTGTGGGGAGGCTTGGGTGCGGCTTCCTAGAGCCAGACCTTGAAGGAAGGCTGGAGTGTGCCAGGCACAGAGGAGAGATTTAGTGCATGCAAAGGCCCAGGGGCAGGAGAGCCCTTTGTGAGAGGGAGATGGGGATAAGCCAGCCTGGCACAGAGTTTCTCAATGGGGCACAATTAGGATTTCGGTAGAGCAGCGCCTTGTTGTGTGGCCCATACATTCAGGATACTTAGCACCTTGGTCTCTGGATCCTAAATGCCAGTCATACCCTCCAGTCACTGTGACAACCCCAAAGAATGCCCCATATATTTGCAAAGGTCCTCAAAGGTGCACTGCTATGTCATTTGAGAAGCATGGCTCTAAATCATCTTCAACACTTTGGGAAGGGGCAGCAGCTAAGAGATGAGGCAGGTGAGGTGGGTTGAAGCCCCACTGTGAAAGGCCTTGGAAACAGAGAAAAAGTAGAAGTTGTGTTTTAGAAGAGACATGTTGACAGAGCGTGGAGACTGGAGAGAGGAGGTATGTAGAAAAACATGTTTTGTGGACAAGAAACTGACGCGGGTTTGTGCATCAGACCTGTACACATATATAACCTTCAGAGCTGCAGCAGGTCACTCTGTTTAGTGCCAGCTTTCCCTCTCCACAAGGCAAAGCCCACGAAGCACTTCTCTCTTCTAACCAAGCCCGTTTTGCTGCTCCTCCCCTGGCTTGACTGATAAAAATGCCATCTGTCTTTCTGCAGCTGACCTGAAAGTGGGTCAGAGACACAGTCGCAAGCATCTGCCGGGCTCCTTGGCCAATATATAGCTTAAGAGGTGGATTTTTATTCAGCCTTCATTTCCTGGGCATCCACTATTGCTGTAGCTGTGCTGCAGCTGGTGTTTATGAAGAATTTAATGAACACGGTCCTTGCCTGGGTTTGTCAGGACTTGTAAGGTGCAGATGCCAGAAACTCAATTTACACTGGCTTAATCCATAAAAGGAAATGTCTTGCCTCATAAAGCTGAAAAGTTTAGGCCCAGCTGGACCCAGACCATCCATGGCATCAGCAGGAATCTGTCTCCTCCATCTCTGAGCCGGCTTCACTCAGACAGAATATTCTTTTTTTTCTACAATTTTTTTATTAAGGTATTATTGATATACATTCTTATGAAGGTTTCACATGAAAAACAATGTGGTTACTACAATCACCCATATTACCGAGTTCTCCCGCCATACCCCTTTGCAGTCACTGTCCACCAGTGTAGTAAGATGCCACCAAGTCACTATTTGTCTTCTCTCTGCCTCACTCTTTTCTTAGGGAGAATCTGGGATAGTCACAGAGACAGAACAGAAGGCTAACCCGCCATTTACTCATGCCCAGTCCTGCCCTGTCCACATCTCCAGCTGCTTCCTTGCCCCTCATCTTATTTTGAAGTCAAATGCCAAACAGTAATTTCCTCTTTAAGTATTTCAATATCAGACAGAATATTCTTTCCTGGGATCCTTCAGCCGCTTCAGATTTCCCACTACCCAATTTCAAGAGGGTGCCTCCCTGTAGGTTTCCCCGGCTCAGAGTCCCAAGGATCATCTGTGAGTGGTTCTGATGAGGCCAGTGCCCCTCCCCTGGGTCCGCCCCTGTGGTCAGGGACATAGGGTGCTCTGATTGGCCAGGCCAGGGTCACACATCAACCCTGGGACCTGTGGAGGAAAACTGGCTCTCCTGAACCACACATACTGGGGCTGATCGAGCAGGTGGGACTCACAGATGTTGGCTACTTGGCTCTCTGCGGGCGGAGGACACCCTGAAAAGCCTCTTTATGTTACAGAACTGGAAAACCCAGCTGAGAGGGTGCACCAGATCCAGCAAATCCTCATCACCCTCCCCCGTGTGGTCATCGTGGTCATGAGATACCTCTTCGCTTTCCTCAACCAGTGAGCGCAGCTGGGCGGCGGGGTGGTGGCAGGGGCTCTTTCCCTCTTTGACTCGGCCCTGGCCTCCTCTGGGAGGGGGTGTCCTGAGGCTTTTGCAGGTGTAACTGTTCTTAAAACACAATGTGGAACTCTCCTGGGTTTGCGTAGGACCCCCCAAGGGAAAGAAACCGCAGGAAGAACACTCCCTTTCCCAGGTGACTTGTCGGTGCCTCCTTTCTTGTAGCCTCTCGCAGTACAGTGACGAGAACATGATGGACCCCTACAACCTGGCCATCTGCTTCGGGCCCACCCTCATGCACATTCCTGATGGGCAGGACCCCGTGTCCTGCCAGGCACACGTCAATGAAGTCATCAAAACCATCATCATCCATCATGAAGCCATCTTCCCCAGTCCCCGCGAGCTAGAGGGACCTGTGTATGAAAAGTGCATGGCAGGAGGGGAAGAATATTGGTAAGATTCCAGTCCTCTCAGTATTATTATTATCACCATTGTTGTTGCTGTTGAACAGGAACAGTAAGAAACCCTTCAGTCTCCTGGCAGCTTTAGAGTCTGCACTCCCATATGCAGTTTCTCATCCTAGCTTTTCAGCAGCCTTTTATGAGAGACAGGTGCATCAGTCAGGACTCTTTTGGTCTATAAGGGCCTGAAGGAGAGCTCCAACTGGCTTACGCCAAATGGGAATTTATTGGTTTACTTAACTAGAAAGTCTGGGATCAAGGCTTCAGGTATAGCTGGATCCACAGTTTCCACTGTCCCCATCAGGACTCAGTCCTGCAGTCCCCGCCCCTGGCTCTGCCTTCTTGTGTGTTGGGTTCATTCTCAGGCAGCCTCTCCCTTGGTGGTTTCAAGAAGGCATCTTGGTAACCCCATATTTTAGAGCCCATTCTCTCGGCAACACCAATGGAAAAAGAGTTTGTCCTTCTCAAATGTTTCAACATAAACCCAAGAATTATGTCCCCCTGCTGAGGCTTGGCCCTGGTGAGCTCCTCACTGCCCTTGGCCAGGTGAGTCACACACCCACCTCAGGCAGCCGGGGAGGGGACAGTCCCCATCTCAGCTCCATGGACCAAGAGTAACACACTCCCCACCACTGGCCTCGTCCACCTGGGAGTCCTCTTTTTCAGACAAAGTGAGTTCACTTTCTTTGAGAGTTCCACACCAGGTTAATAGTTGCTACTTAGGCACCTCTGTGTACCTGGTGCTGCACTGGGTCTTGGGAGAAATATTTTAAAGCCTTATCAAAATCAAAGCCAACTGCCTTCCCCAAGTTAAGACCTTAAAGTGTGGTAAAGATAGGAATTAAAAAAAAAATGTCAAAGAGACAGGATATTCAGGACACCAGCTGACAGAGACAAGACAAAGGATTCCTACACTTTCTTTCTTCCCCAAATCCAGGCCAACATGCAGCTATATATTTAGATATTACCCACATTGCTTTCAGCCAGGTACCTACAGGGGAGTTTGTCTTTTGATTGTCAAAGCATTTCTGGACTCCTGAGTTGCTGTAGTTCTGTGGGCCTATTTGGGAAACTGCTTCAAAGGAGAGAGATGTTCCAGCCCCTTTCTTTGCCCACAGTGCTGCCCCACATAGAAATACTGGGCCCTTGCATGTCTGATCACAGCTTTGTAACCTCATTTGAGGCACCAGGAGCAAGTCTGTCCCTGTTGTGTTACAGAAACATTAACGCCAGCAAGCAGACTTTCTGGACAAAAAGAAACTTTTTCTCACAGTTTTTGTAACCATGAGCAGTTCTCCTTTCTTTCTGCAATATCTATAATTAGTGTTCAGGGAAGGTCCTGTGGATCCTCATGTACTTATCAAAGAGCAATATATAGTAACCACTGTTCTTAATCCCACTTATGTCCCATGACAAGGGAAAGCTATTAATTATGTAGTAATTTGGAGGCATTTTCAAAGCCAAAGCAGGAGATTTGGCTGAGAGTCTCAACATAGTGGACAACATTCATTTGTTCAACACATGGTTGCTGAGCATCTGCCCTGGGCCAGGCCCCGAGCTGGGGGGGGCAGGTACGTAACCCAAACAGGATTAACCCCTGACGTAAGGAGCCCTGGTGGTGGAGGAAACAGGCGGTTCCAGAAGTGGAGGCCCCCTGAGTCAGTATGGGGATGTCAGGAAAGGCTTCTTGGAGGAAATAATGACTTAACTAATATCGTAGGATGCAATGAAGTCAGCCAGGTGAGGAGTGGGCAAAGAACATTTTAGGCCTGGAGGGCTCAATAAAATGGAAAGCGGTTGGTTCTATGTGGAAAGCTGGGATGTTGCATGTGGCAAGGGGCCAGCAGGCTGGTAGGAGCCAGGATATAAAAGGTCCTACACAAACTGTTGTGCAGAGTCTGGACTTTGTCCAGGATGCAGTGGAGGGTTTTTCATAATGAAGCCCATTATTCCTTTAAATGGCATGGTAAATGCCACCTCCTCCTAGAAGCCTTCCCTGGCCACTCTGTATAGGTCCCCTCTGCTGCTGTTCTTGTCTGTGCTCATTTGTTCCTACATAACACATTTCAACTTGCAGCCTTTCTGTTTCCTGACCCGTGAGGTCAAGGTCTATGTCCACCTTGCCATCATGCATTCCTCCTACCTAGTACAGTGCCTCACATATATTAGGACTTAATCAATGGCTCAATAAAAACTGACTGGCTATGCAAACGAAGCCTGGCCTCTAGAAGCTTATAGTCTAGCGAGGGGCAGCAGCTGGTGAAAATTATCCCAGGGCATTAGTAAGTAAATTTGGAAGGCCTGGACTCACTCTACTGTTGCAGCCATCATAGTTGCCAGCCTGCTCACACTAGCTGGGCTGATTGGGGCTTTTACACGCAGCATCATGAGGCAGCTCTGAGGATCCCTGCTCCTTGCGAGCTTCACTCCACCTCACTGGGTATGTCACCTCTGCTGTAAGACAAGGAGCCAGGCTAGATGAGTGACTCACAGTACTTCCAAAATTCCTTTTTGTTCTTGCCTCTGGTCCTTCCAAGGATAGATGCCAGGGTTTAACACTGCCCTCCTAATCTTACAGAACACCTAGGCTTTGCCAACCTTTACCGAGAAGACAGCTCAGCAGATTCCAAGGCTGAGGGCAGCCAGGGAGGAGGTTATTGCCAACTACAGAGTGGGAGTAGTTTTCTGTCCAGAAGGTCCATGGTGGTCAAACAGAAAAGGTGGCAGGAAGTGGGCCTGGGCCTGATCTGGGTCAAGCCCACAGGTGGGCTGGGCTGGAACCTGCAGGAGGCTAAGGTCAGCATGAGGGTGCAAAGCCCCTCAACGAGTCCCCATGCCATGTTCCCTTGCAGTGACAGCCCACACAGCGAGCCAGGGACCATCGATGAAGTTGACCACGACAATGGCACTGAGCCTCACACCAGTGACGAAGGTGAGTGAGGGAGAACCTAGGGCCAAGGAGTTCACCCAGGGGCCTCTCACCCCGACTCATGCCCGCCTGACCCCCCTGGGCTGCTCCCATACCCACCCCCAAGCTTTGCAAGTCAGCACATCATTATCCAAACACACAGAGCCTCAGAAAGACCTCTGAGGCATATGCCCCCCAGCTCCCCACATTCCTTCCCAGCCTGCCTCGCCCCGTCTGTGTCTGGCCTGGCCGGAGTGCTATCCCATGTGACAAGAGTCTCCCAAGTAGGAAGCATGTTTTGTCCCTCCACTGCTCCCCCACTGGGAATCTGTTCTGCACCCAGCCCGTGCAGGATGTAAATGAATGAGACATGGTCATCGAGGAGCTCCCAGTCTCGTCACCTGACAGACTGAAAGCGCCTCCCGTGATGAGAGTGATAATGCCAGGCCACAGGTGTGTGCACAGTGCAGTCCTGTGAGGACAATGGAAGCAGTGATGAGCTGGGGAAGCTGGGGAGGGAGGGAGGGCAATACCAGCCGGAGCTCTGAGGGGCTCACTGGACCTTCTGCCCCTTCTAGGCAGGAAGTCAGGGTAGTCTTTAGGGAACCTGCACCATGTCAACAAGTGATCTGGATAATATGGCCCAGCACCAGTGTATCCCTTAGGCAGAGCAGGTGCAGTGCCCAGGGCCCATGATACATTTAGGGACCCATAAAAATGGTTTAATTTCTTTTAAAAGAATAAGAAATAAGATTCCTTTGGATCATATTCATTTTTATACCAAAGTAGTTGTAAAAATATAATATTTAACTTTTTTTTAATGGAAGAAGGGACCCATGTAAGCAGAAGTACTCAGGGCCTGTGCAAGTCCAAACCTGGCTCTCCTTTCACCCTGGGAGAGTTTTACTTCTAAAAAATCATTATTTAGCAGTTCTCTTATTGGCTTCTGTGTTTCCCCTGGGGTATAGTCGCAGGCCCTGTTAGGACAGCTGGGTATGTTCTCAGATGTGATTTCTGGGGCTGGTAAAAGAGGCAAGACCGATAAGTTTGTTTTCACTTGCTAGTAGGACTCTTTCAGTTGCTGATGACAGAACCTCCAACTCAAACTGACTTAAGCAAAAAAGACCTGACATTGTATCCCTAAAACATCCCAGGATAGTTATGGCTTCAGACACAGCTGGATCCAGGAGCTTAGCTGATCCTGTCAGGAATTTGTCTCCATCTTCCTATTCTCCTTCCCTCTGTTTTGGCTTCATTCTGCAGTGGGGTCTCCCCATGTTGTGCTCGCTGGCAGTTCCAGGCCTTTGTCATCCTTCTACCCAAAGTCCCAGTGGAAAAGAGCTCCCTTTTCATCGTGGTTCCAGGAAAGCTCCCTGGGCAGCCCAATCACTATAGCCTGAGAGGGAGCCAGTGGCTCAGGCCTGGGTCACAGATGCAGAAAAACGAATGTAGGCACGACCTTCAGCTCACCCAGAATCCTTAGAGGCTAAAGCCATCCTGAGCTGAGGCAACTGTCCTGCAGATGTGGAGATGTGAAGGCTGCCAACTTCTGCTTGTTTGCAGTGACTTGATTTTCTCTTCCCTTCTTTTCCTTTCTTTGCTACTTCAATTTCGTCCTCTCCCCCTATCATTTTTTAATGCCCCTCCTTCTTATTCTCTCTATCTTTGGCTTGCTTTATTTCTGCATCTCTCTGTGCGTGCATGTATAGGTCCTTCATACTCTTGATCTTGCTCTGTCTCTATTCTTGCATTGCAGGAAAATACCTCTTGTCCAAGGAGTCTGACTGGTTTTTCATAACTAAGACCTGTCAGTCTGCTGCTGTTGGGGGCAGACATGTCCACAGGAGGGCAGTCAGGAGCCCTCTGAGGCCCCTTGCAGCCCACCTTCCTGGGGCCTGAGGTCACTGTCAGTCCCCGAAGCTCCTTAGCCCAGGGAGTGGAAGGCTGCTGTGAGGGCTGGGACTGAGGAGGAGAGGCAGAGAGAATGAGGCTTGTTGGGTGAACAAAGCAGAGCCACAGGACACACCCATCAGATTTCACCCCACCCCAAGCAGAAGCCCCCAAAAGATGCTGCCTTGACCCCCCAAGAGCAGAGGTGCACAATGGCCCTAGGACAGGACAAGTCAGAGCTTCATGTGTATACTTCCCACAGGATCCCTGCTCCTGTTCTTCCTGGTCAGGCTGCTCGTTACTGCAAATGACAAGGACAGGGAAGGGCAATAGCCACCCCAGGGAGAGCTGGTTTCATGCTCCCTGAAGGTTCTCACTGTATCCTGTGTGTTAGTGAGGAGTGATAAATCTGGGGCATTCTTTGGAGGAAAATTAGCTGCATTTTCTAAATGTTTACATTCATGCCAACTCCAACCAGAATAGTCACAGAAATGCTGAGCTGTGGGAACAGTCGAGGGGGCATTGGATTCTGAAAAATGAGGCCTGGGTTGGAAAGAAAGAGACCTTTATAGCCATGTGATCTTTGGCAGGCCACATAGCCTCTGGCCTCAGTTTCCTTGTGGAAATGACAGCATCAGGAGAATTGTGGCTAGATTAAAATGAGGTGACATACGAAGAAGCTGAGCACAGGCTTAGGACAAATAGGTGACTAGGAAACATTAAGTGACTGTGTATCCAGTAAAAATCCTTCCTAATCCTGATAAAGAAACTGCTTCCAGCGACTGTAATGGGGTATGTGGTGGGGACTTGATAATAGGGGAGAATGTAGTAACCACAATGTTGCTCATGTGAAGCCTGAGCATAGACCATATATCAAGGATACCTTAATAAAAAAAGAAAAAGAAAAAGAAAAAGAAAAAAACTGCTTCCAGAGAATTTTGTTGACCTATTATTCATTGGCAGCCTGAATCCCCTGATTTTATTACTTACTTTTCCTCTGGGACATTTCATTTGAGGGAATATCAGAATCTTTATTTATCTTGAAAACACCCTGTATGAATGAATGAAACCCAGCAGACTTCAAAGGTCAAATCAGTCATCAAACCCTTTTAAAGATGGGTCACCCAATAAGTGACCAAATAGGAGGGACAAGTTAGTCGTTTAGGCAGCTACTACGGCCTTTCCTGTACATAACTGATGCCTGCTGCCCTGTCTTGAGTCTTTTAACACATTGTGGGTATCAGTCTTGAAAATCCATCTTTGCTTGCTCTTTTGGTCTCCAAGATTTATAAAGAAATCATGGTTAGGTTAAGAACCCTTAATCGTCAGAACTAAACCTAATGAAAACTTTCAGGCAGCCTGTCAGTAGCAACTTTACTGATTGGATGTTATATAAGGAAGGAGGCTGCCAGATAAACCACTAAAATCACTAACAGAAATAATGCTCATATAGTTACAATATATTGATGTTCAATTATAACTGCACCATCAACTTTCTCACTGATGTTTCCCCCAATTCTCCAAATTGTCTTTAACTCCTTGCCTATCATCTACATGTAGAAAGCCATTAAGCCATTACTTCCTTGGACACATCAAGTGTCCATAAATGGGCTTTAGGAGGTTCACTATGGGCAGAATTTTGTTTCTCTTGGAATGTGTTTCTGAGAAAAGGTCCATAGTTTTCATCAGATTCTAAGCATGTACTAGAAATTAGGGCAAGATTTTTATGTATTTATATACATTTCCTAATGTTTAATAAAAAATTTCAAACAAAAAAGTTGAAAGACATTTTTTGGTAAACACCCATTTACCTACCACCTAGTTTCTACAGTTGTTAATATTTTGTTATATTTACTTCACTGTGTATCTATCCATCTATCAATCCTTTTATTTTTAACATTTTCAAAGTAGGTTTTACTGAAATAAACAAATCTTCAGTATTTCATTCCCTGAGTTTTTATACATGTAAAAATGTGTCTAACTCAAGCATATACAGAACATTTCCAACACCCCAGAAAGTTCCTTCATGCCTTTTCCCACTCAGTTCCTGCCCCAAAAGCCCAATAGACAGCCATTGATGGTTTTTATTTATTTTCACAATAAATTAGTTTTGCCTGTTCTAGAGCTTCATATAAATGGAACTGTAGAGAATAGAGTTTTGGCTCTGTCTTCTTTCACCCAGCATAATGTTTAGAGATTCATCCATATTATATGTATTAGGTGAGGTTTGATGGTATTACAGTCAGTTTACACATTACCACCCAATTATGCTCAAATCACAGCTAGAAAATGAGAGCAGTGGCCACTTTATAATTAACTTGGCCCCTGTTCCTACCCCTTAGTGCATAGATAGTAAACTGGCCTGCACCACATGGCTCAGGCCTGAAACGCAAGTAGGACTCTCCTTCCTCTTTGGTTTCAGCCATTTTATTGAGATATAATTCACATACCATACAATTCACCCATTTAAAGTGTACAATTCGGTATTTTTTAACATATTCATGGATATATGCAGCCATCACCATGGTCAATATTTGAAGATTTTCATCACCACAAAAAGAAACTGCATACCCTTAGCTGTCATCCCATACCCTCTATCCGCCCAACATTTCTCCCTAGCCCTAACGACCACTACTGTATTTTTTTGTGTCTGTGGATTTGCGTATTCTGGACATTTCATATAAATAGAATCATGCATATCTGGCCTTTGTGTCTGGCTTTTCTCATTTAACATACTGTTTTTAAAGTTCATCCCTTTTGTAGCATGTATCTGGAATTCATTCCTTTTTATGGCTGAGTAATACCCCATTGTACGGCTATGTCACATTTTGTTTGTCCACTTGTCAGTTAATAGACGTTTGGGTTGTTTCCCACTTTTTGGCTGTTACGAATAATATTGCTATAAACATTTTGTGTACAGGTTTTTTGTGGAGACGTATATTTTTATTTCTCTTGGGTATATACCTAGAAGTGTGATTGCTGAGTCATACAGTAGCTCTATGTTTATCATTTAAGGAACTGCCGGAGTGCCATTTTATATTACCACCAGTAATGTATGAAGATTCCAATTTCTTCACATCCTTGTCAACACTTGCTATTATCTGACCCTTTGATTCTAGCCATCCTAGTGGTTA